TCACGGAGCATCAGCCCCCCTTTGCTACCTCCGGGCACAAGAAGATCACGGATAGTCTCGTTATAAATCTCGAGGTAGGAAAGCGAAACCTCGGTCGCCTTCTCTCCGGATCGTTCGTCGATGCGTTCGAACAGTTCCTGCATTGTGAGGAAGATAATACCGGGCTGCTGAGCTGTGCCTGTTATGGTGTGAGTCTTTCCACAACCTGTGGCACCGTATGCAAACACCGTCGCGTTGTAGCCATCGAGAACGCTGTCGAGGAGGTTTCTGGTCGTCGATTCGTATACCTCTCCTTGCGAGGCATTCTGGTCGAAAATCCGGTCGAAGGCGAAGGTCTGATCTTTGACACGTTTTCCGTTGGGGACAACACTCTTGGAGAACTTCTGTACGGGGTTGTCCTCCGGAGGGTCGAACACACTGTCGAATACCCAATTAGATTATTCGAAGAAGACAGCATGGTTATTGGTAAACTCACAGGCACCGGTCATCAATGACCTTGATGATAGAGCGAAGGCCCTTTTGATTGAGCTTTGGTGTCGGTGCTCCAGCTAAAGAGCCGTCACCAAGGAAGAGCGGACCATCTTCGCATTTGGAGAGCTGTGCTGCCTCCCGGATGGTAAACGGTCGAACTCGGACCGCAACAGTGATAGATGAAGCGTCGGCCATGGTGTTTCGTGGGTGACAGCAGAGGCGCCACGTCCCTCTAGAGGAGAGCTATCGCGGAAGAGGATTCAACGCGGCGGGCGGCTATCCAGGGACGTTGCGACGCCCTGTATCGTCGGCAAGGCGAATTGAAGAGGAACAACGAGCTGTAGAAGATAAGGATTGAAGAGCCAACCGTGAAGAATGTTGACTGTGGACCTGGTTTTTCCGTCGGCCCCAGAGATTCCCCTGTTGAGCAACGCTGAACACTAGTTCCAGCTTCGGCCTGACTGTTGACACCCGCTTGTTTTCCACCGCCTTGTTGCTCCGAGCAACCACCCGCCGTGTTGATAGCCCAGATTCTCTGTGGCTGCAACGTTATCGCTCATAACTCTGCTTAGTGCTTTGACTCTTGGTTTATTATACACGACATGTGGCTCATAACACCACGCACCATTGTTTCCTGATTGGTCCACTGCTTGTTGCAATGATGGAAATGGTTGAGAATGATTCATTGATCAATACTACTTTGTTGCTTTTTCCGTGGTACATGTCTATTTACTATACACTAGTATCCAATGCAGAGCTTCGGTAAGACAGACTTGACAGGAATTTATTGGCTGTAGTTTGTCCCGCATTTCCATCCTGTCCGTTGTACCTCCATTGCATTGAGCTACAGCTCATCGGGCGTCTCTTAGATTGCTGCCACTTTGAAGATGATGCATTGCAGTGGATTCAAATAACGACAACTTCACATGCAGATGTGATATCGAGGAGAAGAGTTTATTATGTCTAGTAATAGTGGAGCCGTTTGCTCAAAGTCGGGATAGATTCTATTTTACGAAGTTCTCGACTACCACATCATTGTATTCTGCCCAAAATAGTGTCATTGAAAATATTGTAAACGCCGCCAATATGAGCCCCGTATCAACCATGCGCCAATCCATGAAAGCGTTGCAGAACTCCACACCAAGAAGCTGTTCCGACAGGGATGAGTTTAATTAACGTCCTCCTCCTCATCCTCAAAGCTCGGGACAATGACATCCCAACCAGGATCCTCCAGCTCCAGGTCAATCATATCCTCGCCCTTCTCCGAGTCCTCCCTGGGCTTCCGGAACCTGAAAGCAATAGGCTGCCCATTCTTAATCTCAGCCGCTTGCAGCGTGAGAGCGCCAGCACCTTTCTTTGCAGCTCCACGTTTAGGAGCGTTATCCTCATCGAATGCAGGCACCTCAGCCTCCAGTCTTGTCCAGCCCTTTTCTAGATCATTCTTATCCACTGCAACACCGAACTCAATATGAGACGGATCATCTGGAACTATATCACCGTTGATTTCGTGGATCTCCCGGGATTTGAGAGCTTTGAGGAGCGCGTCTTTTGTAGTGGCGATCGTCTCCGATGGCGGGAGCATCAGAAGCACGGTGGTCTTGTGCTTCTTGAAGAGAAGAGTCCAGCTCAGAGGGTCGGGTTGAGACTGTTGGTACACAATAGTTAGCATACTAATATGTCCTATATCCAAATACAGAAAGTAGATTATGTAGTTACCATAATGGAGGCTGTTTATCGTATGGAAGTTATGAGCAGTGAGCTGATCTTAAGCGGGACCTCGGAGCTTTTTCGACAAGGCGGCGGACGGAAGTCGGCGAACCAAGCGCTCAGGTGCTTCCCGTTTTCCAGCTGCCCGTGATTTTATGTCCCCGGGGAAAGCTGACACCACCACAACCAGCCACCGACCTCCTCCGCCCACCTACGCATTACCCAAGTCATTAACGACTTTGATTCGCTCATACCAACAGCAATCGCTAGCAGTCATTCGCCATGGCGGAGAAAGGCTGGGACAGATTAACAGGACCTCCCAACGATGACAGCCTCCTATGGAAGATCTGGCACTGGGACAGATTCTTCGAAGCAGACGCGCCGCCCCGACTCGGTATCAAGCTCAGAAAGCGTGTTCTATACATGTCCGCATCTGCCTGGTCTGCCGGTATGATGATCGGATACATGCACGGCAGCAAGACCGCATCCTACCGGTTTCGAGCCGAAAATGCCCATCGCTTTCCCGATGCGGCGCGGGGATGGTATCAGTACCACAAGTCGAAGAACTACCATGCATTCTTGCAGGGATCTAGTCAGGGGATGAAGATGGGGTTTAGACTGGGTGCTGGTGCTTTGTGTTTCTGCTTGTTGGAGGAGGTGGTGGATTACGCTCGGCATGATCAGAGAGATTTTCTGTCGACGGTTACGGCGGGATTGTCAATGTCGGGAATTTACAGTGTGTTAGGTGGGTTATACTCTTTTGCTTGATGGCTTCTTGACTTCGGGCTTGGGCTAATGTTGTGCGATTGTTGTTGGTTTCTAGCGCGACAGGATATCTACACGGCTGCTCGTTCGGCCAAGACTGGTCTGAAGTTGAGCTTGGCTTATGGCATTGTGCAAGACGTGCTTGAGTCCTGGCAAGGAACTCGTCCTGCTTATATCGATATCGTTCTTGGAAGTCGTCGCTCGAAGACGGAGTGAGAGCCTCATAATTGCACAGGCACTCTTCGCTGGATGTTTACTGGCTTCTCGGCTTTACGTCCGGTCATCTTTCCCTGGCAGGCGCAACAAAGAAACCCTGCGACGCTCAATATTGGTGAGTCTCTGATCTAATTCTGGACGATCCAAGTCATATGCTAATGGCGGACATCCAGTGTTGCAAAAGTAGTTGCAAAAGTAATTGCACACGCCTGCCTCACCATCCCTAGAAATCTCCACTCTACGAACAGAGGTCTTCTGAACCCCCGCGCTCGAACAGTGCTGTCCGAATCTAGCAATACGCCGGACCGACCAACCGACCGACCAGACAGTCGATGGAATCCCTCTACCCTGGCTGTTCATGAAACACAGGATACGCCGTTTGTAGACAAAACAACCGCACGCGGAGTAGCGACAGTTAAGGAGGTACCTGGGCATATACGGGTTTATATATGAAGGACAAGACGAAGCGCGGGTCTGAAAAAATTCTTCTAATGGAGTTGAGTGTTGATACCAGAATATTATCAGACAAGTCAAGTCACGTTCCTCTACTTGGAACTGGAATGATATAATTGGAAACCATCCGTCCGAAAGCAGTACTCTTCCGCGTGTCCCAATCACCTGACCAACCCGGTTGATTAAAAAAGATGATGTGCAGCTGCAACTCAACTGGCTGCTTGTCTGATCTCGTGCGCGCACGGATCCTCGACTCCGACGGGCCATTAATGAGCTGACCACCAGTGGTCATTGGCTCTGGTAGGCCGTGAGACCTGGGAACCATGGCGGCCTGGCAAGTGCCGAGAAGGCTTGAAGGCTAAAATAGGGACCGTAATTGTCTAGAAACTCGAGCTGGGATGCATGGTTCCCCCCATGCAGGTGGACAGACGATCGGATCCATGATCGGGATTGCTGTAACTCGTGTCAACCTTACTTGTCTCTTACTCTACTGTATCTTATGTTATTCTGTAGCATTTCAGACCCTTGTCCAGGGGCAATCCATGAATTTCTACATAGTATCAGTCTGGCAGCGATCTTCATTCTTGCTTGAGCTACGTATGTAATTTTACGATTTCATCTTTTCGTGAGAATGAATCCTGCGCTAGACTAGATTACTGACTTGGACCCACAACAGGTACTTCTGTTGAAGTAGTACTGATTTTTTAGATAGTATTGAGTAGTATAGTGTTGGGGACGTATGTACTCGGTACATACCTGTCACTCACTGCCTGACAGAATATCCCACTCTGCTTAGTGTTAGCAGCTACTACTAGATCACTTCTATCTTACTATTCATTGGACCAGCAGAGGGAAAAAGCCAAAAGCGCAAAGCACTGGCCGTCCATTCTTTCCAGTCGGGGTCAATATTACAGACCGGTGTTTCCGTTTCGGAGGATGCTCCCCACCCAGCAGAATTGACCACATTCCCGCCAGTTTGACATCTCGAGCATACAGTTTGTTTTTTGGGGAATATCAATGCGAAAACGAAAGATAGATAGGCATCACTGTGAAAATGACACCACTTCATGCAAGTCTAGAGTTTAAAAGAGAGTGACAATAATAAATAGTGATAGGACAGAACATCGGAATCAATTCCTGACGAGAGATCAAATCGTCATTGACTTTGGGGAGGCAATCAGAGGAGCTTCCGGACCGGCGGTGGAGCAACAAGCGCGTTATTTGACGTTTGGTGATCCCCGCTTCGAAAAAGAGTTGCAGCAGCAGACCTTCTTTCTGCGTTTCTCTGGTCCGCCGGCCAGACTGAACCACTGTTGACCATTAATTAGTTGGTTGGTGGTTGGTCTCTACTACTAGCTTAGCTTCTCACCCAAAAGTGCCCCCCCATCATGCTCGCCCGCCCGTCTCCAGAAGAATTATTATTATTCAGTTTATTGTTGTTGTTGCTCTGCAGGATTCCCGCTCTTTGCCCGTCCCTCTGGCACTGTGTGCCTGTCGCATAGAAGCCAGCTAGAAACCTAGTAGCGAGCTGTCTCTTCTCTTCTCTTCTCATCCTGTCTCGTCTTCTTTCTCCAGCTCAGCTCAGCTCAGCTCAGCTCTCATTCTTGGTCAAGCTGCTTTCTAATCAATCAATCATCATCATCATCGTCACCTCCATCACCACTACCACTGCTACTACTGCTACCACCACCACCACCACCACCACCACCACCACTACTACTACCGCTACCATTTCATACCCACCACCGCCTTCCCTCCTCGCCCATCTACCCTCCCCCGCACTGTCCGTTCCATCCATCGTCAGCCATGATGCCTTTTTAAGAGCTCCTCTCCCCCGTGATCTCATTCTCGTCGACGTCATCGCCTCCATTGGTCGCTTCGATACCGGCCAACAACTACATGCTGCCTTCTCCAATTTCTTTTCCAATCTCGTTTTGTTCTTGATTGCCCTCCCTGACACACCTCATTCACCCGGCCCATCATGCGGCGCCATGGCAGAGCTAGTGGTGGCTCAACAAAAGCCGTTCACCCCATTTCCGACACCGCATCGCTCTTACATTCGTTCGATTCCATCACCAATCCCAATCGTCCCGTACGACCCTCGCCCTTGACCTCTTCTAATATTCAAGCTCTCCCGTTGGACCTCGTTGACCGATTGCGCTCCTTTCCCTTGTTTCAATCCACGCCCGAATCCTTCCTGGTCGATGTCGGCCAGCATCTGCGCCCACAGCTCCATGCGCCCAACGACTATATCCTGACGGAGGGGGACGAGGCCAAGGCCATCTACTGGCTGGTTCGGGGCGCTGTCTCCGTGACCTCGCGCGATGGCGAGAGTATATATGCGGAGCTTGAACCGGGGGCCTTTTTTGGCGAAATCGGTGTACTAATGGATCGTCCGCGGACAGCAACCATCATCGCCCGCACTCGATGCTTACTGGTCGTGTTAACCAAGGAGGATTTCCGGAAAATTCTCCCTCGGTTCCCCGACGTGGAACGGGCAATTCGCGACGAGGCCCAGGAGAGACTGATGATCCTGGAGAAGAAGAAGAAGGAGACCTCTGTACCATCGGTTGATTTTGTGAGTCCGGTCAGGAGAGGCTCGAAGAGATTGCGGGACACATACTCCGGTGACCTGAACCTCACGGATCAGGACGGCAGAAGCTTGAAGTCCGTCAATAAAAAGCGAAAGTCCCCGAGTCCTGGATTGGCTGATGGATCCTCCAGTGCGCTGGCGAACGGGCTGGTTAATGTCCGTTTACTTCTCAAGGAGCTGCCCCTCTTCTCCGGTTTGCCGCCAGATATCCTCCATTTCCTGGGCCTGAATGCGCAACCGCGCTCCTACCCGCCATTCACCGATATTATCAAGCAGGACTCCCAGGGTCGGGAGATCTATTTCATTGTCCGCGGGGAGGTTGAGGTTTTGTCGGAGAGAGCAGCAAACAATCATGCGCAATCGTTGCCAAATAAGATCGAGCACCCTAGTTTCGAAGTTAAAGCCCGGCTGAAACAGGGACAATACTTTGGTGAAGTTGTGAGCCTCTCCCTGGCACCACGCCGGACCGCCACCGTGCGATCCATAAGTGCGGTGGAATGTCTGATGATTAGCGGTGATGTACTAGTAGAATTCTGGGAGAGATGTCCTCCAAAAGTTCGCGAACAGGTGGAAAGGACCGCCAAGGAGCGGCTTCAAGCAGCGTCTGATGGCGACGTTGTGATGTCAGAAGCGGGAAGCGACGAGCAACCTGCCGGCGAGCTGAGTGTCGATGATAACTTCAAGATGAGGGCGGGCCGCAGACAATCCATGCCTCTTCTAACCTTAACAGAGACTGAGTTAGACAGCACTCCGACTGCCAAAGGTCTAGATGAACCAAGTGTGCTGCGGCCTTCCGATCCGGATCCTTTCCTCAGTGTGGGCCTAGACAAAGTCCGGCTGCGAAGCCGGCGCAGCTCCGTGGCGCCATTGACGCCGGAGGAGGTTTCCGGGGAGCAACAGAGATCTTCACCCTCATCTGAGCCTAGATCTACTAGCTCGTCCTTTCTCACGCTTCCCGGGGCCGGTGAGTTCTCAACACCGTCAGAGACGGTCCGTGAGCCACGTCGTGACAACCACGGGTATCTTCCCGATCGGGTCCTGTTGGTTATATTTCAGCATCTGGAGCTTCATGATCTACTTCGCCTCAGGGCGGTCTCTATGCACTGGTCAGAGATTCTCAGCAAGTCAACGGAGCTGCTTCGTTACCTGGACCTGAGTACCTATAACCGGTGCGTCACGGATGACGTATTGGTGAAGATCATTTGCCCATTCGTAGGTAGTCGGCCGCGATATATCGACATTAGCAATTGCTTCCATATAACGGACGAAGGGTTCAGCAAGTTGGTTGCGACGTGCGGATCTAACGTTGTCACCTGGAAAATGAAGAGCGTTTGGGATGTCACCGCATCGGCTATTCTTGACATGGCGAGCAAGGCGAACAGCCTACAGGAGGTTGATCTGAGCAATTGTCGAAAAGTCGGGGATACGCTCCTAGCTCGAATTGTAGGCTGGGTATCTCCTGGCCAGCATAAGCCACACGACGAGTCGAAACCCGGGAAGGCGTCTATGAAGCCTACCAAACAGACGGCCGCCGGGACCGTATACGGCTGCCCCGAACTCAAGAAATTAACCTTATCCTATTGCAAGCATGTTACGGACCGGTCGATGCACCACATCGCATCGCACGCTGCTTCCAGGATCGAGCAGATGGACCTTACCCGTTGCACTACCATTACCGACCAAGGCTTCCAATTCTGGGGTAATGCTCGGTTCACCAATCTCCGCAGACTCTGCTTGGCGGACTGCACGTATTTGACTGACAACGCTATCGTGCATCTTACGAATGCAGCAAAGCAGCTGCGGGAGCTAGATTTGGTAAGCTAGATCTACAATGTCTAAGTGACGACGGACTAACAATTGGCAGTCGTTCTGTTGTGCTCTGTCCGACACGGCTACAGAAGTACTTGCTCTGCAATGTTCGCAACTGACCTACCTCAATATGTCTTTCTGTGGCTCCGCCATATCAGACCCATCTCTGCGCTGCATCGGCCTGCACCTGTTACATCTTAAACGTCTTTCCGTCCGAGGCTGTGTTCGGGTAACCGGTGCCGGTGTTGAGGCGGTTGCAGACGGCTGCAACCAACTGACATCCTTTGATGTCAGTCAGTGCAAGAACCTCCTCCCATGGATTGAAGGCGACGGACCCCGCAAATACGGGAAGAAGATATCATTTGAGACTGTTGCGCAAAACGGAAGGGTCTTTCGCTGATAGCTCCAGCTCTGCAGCGCCAACCACTACCAACCTCACTCGAAAACACCTATACTCTACCGTCCGAACCTATCTCCCTTGATCTTGACCTTACCACACTCACTCTCTCTTACCTATACCACCCCCTTTTACCCTCTGCCACCTTCTCTCCTTCTTACTTTCGTTTAGACTTGCCCTGGTATTGGATCCCCACCCCCCGGAGTTGTGTGTTTTCTCCACGTTCCAGGACTCACGACTGATGACCGTCATGGGTCTCGCTGCATTGCACTGATATCTGGAGCGCATTTACCCCTCAGGCTGGCTGCTGGCTTCTTAGATTTAATTTCTTTTCCTCTCGATCGGATGGTTTTCTTTTCTTCTTTTGTTCATGGATGCTTTCCAGGTTATAACGGACTCGGGCATGGGAGGAGTTGGGCTCTGAACACACACACACTCACAGAGCATAGGATGTACGAGGGCACTGGGCTCGATTTTCAATAATACTCATCTTGCATGTTGGAGCTTTATATAGTGTATAACTGAATTTAACTGCTGGGGTCGCTGCTGGGATTGCCCCTTTGAGGGAAGTGACATACTTGTTTCCCACTATACTAACGAATCAAGTAATTGTACTAAACGAACCACTTCCCTAACTCTCAAGTTATTCCTGCTCTCCAAAACTCCCAAATAGCGGCACATTCACTCCCCGCCCTCTCGTTCATCCACCATAGATCTAACCTTCTCATCCGATTTAACCAGATGCTGAACATTAGCAGCGCAGGTTCATCCTTAGAGCGAAGTAAATTCACAAAGTGTGCATTTAACTCTATCATGAATTTGATGTATGAGCCGAAGATTTGAGCTGATGGTGTTCGAGATGTACGAGGGATAGGTGTAGTGAGGATAGAGCATAGATTCTTATACGCGGAGAGATAGACGTTTCTTTCCGGCGTCGTAGTAGATGTTTGTTCAATAGCACATATAATAGCGAGATGATCGATGATGATTTTCCTTATGCCGGTAGTTGTATTTACGGAGGGTTCTTGTTGCTCTTGGTCGTCCTTCTGCTGGTGATGATCGTCCACGAACACAGAATACCAAAATGTACTCGGCACAAATTTCCAATAGGGCTCTAGAATCGTTTGATGGATAGCTTGGACTTTGATCCATGAGAATGCGGCGTCGATGTTGTCTTTGGCTTTTCTTGTGACCCATGAGTTTGATGTGGAGGAGGAGTAGGAGGTACTCGCTGGATCTGCGACGACTAGGACGTTCATGAGAAATGCGTTCGAGTGAGCTAAGTTAGCTGTTTCGGTAGATGGTGGGCGGAGGAGGTCGTCTTTGTAGAGGGTTGCGAAGCGGTGGTAGTGGTGGTAGAATGATAGCACGAGTTTCTGTCGCTCTTTTATTTGTTGGTAACCATGCTGGCAGTCCTGATGATGGCGATGTAGGCAGAGCAGATCCCTCGCCGACACAGCCAGAATAGCATGAAGCAGCGAATGCTGTGAGATCGACAGCGGAAGCATATGGTATCTGTATATGGATTGTCGCTTTTCCCCGCCCATCAAGCGGTTGCTGGTGTGGGTATAGAAATGATGGAGGAGGAGCTCTGCCGGAATAATGGTGTTGGCGAGTTGATTGATGCCAGCTAGGGTTAAGGATTTGGGTTGGATTTGGTATATTGGTAATGTCTGCTGGGATTGTTCACTGTCGTTGTTATTGTTGCTGTACTGACAGGCTGCTGTCGTCCCCTTTGCGGCGCATTTCCCGCATATTGGCTTGACTTCGTCGCATTTCACTCGTTTCTGCTTGCATGCGGCGCATCCGTTTCGTGATTTGAAGTGAGCCTTTCGTTGGACTCCGGCTTCGATCTTTTGGATGAGTTTCTCGCGCTGGGATAGGACTGGTTTGCCATTGAGGCGGAATCGGTGCTGGTGGCTGCTGCTGCTGCTGCTGGGCAACATAGAGATTTTGTCTGTATGTATAGTGTGTAGCCATTCGGCTATCAGCTGGGTGAGATTCCGGGGTTGAGGATTCCCCCGCAAGTCTCCGCATGGTGCTAGTGTGCGCTATCGTAGATAGTCTGGTTAGTGTCGATGGTAGTGGTGCAACAATTGGCTGTACCCCGCATACTCCGCATATTCGGATTGTATGACTCGGAGACATGGCTCAGGAGTATACCGACGAAGCAGGCGACTCGGTGCTATTGACTATGGAGAAGCAGAGTAGAGAAAGCGAGCAGAACAGAAGCATTACGACTGATAGTCATTCTTCGCAGGTATCAAAAGGGGGGGAAAAAAAGGTGGATTTTCTGGGGTGGAGAATACGAGTCGTTGTTACGATTCACTGTGACCATCGATATATCTCATTAGTCATCTGATCTTTCTCTTCTAGTAGTATTTATTCCTATTCAGGCTGGAGAAATACAACGTCTTACTTTGTGGGATGTCATGCTAACCCAATCAGGAAATAAATGCAATACGAGAGACCCTTAAGCACTAGCTTCTGCTTGGCCTTCCTGGTCCTGCTGTGGGCTGATATAACATCGAGTAAGGAACAATATCGCTGCCATCCACACATCAATACTGCAAGCTACAACTCAATCGTCCCATCATCTTATTATCTCCTTCATAATGCTCTAGGTCTCTATTGGCTATATTAGAGCCGACGAGGATGGCTAAATTAGTACCTAGTACTACGAGCCAGCCCACCCAGCTCTCAGTTATGGACACTGCTGGCCATGAACTTGCAACATAAATATCGGATCCTTCCTCTCTCAAGATAGCTGCTTTCTACTACTTGAAGTGCTCGACAGCAGAAAGTGCATCGAGCTAAGTTGACGGTCAGTTTCAGAAATGTTGTTACCTAAGCTCTTTCTGTTGACCACCGGCTTGATCTGCCTAAGTGATTGCAAGTCCACCTCTGGAGGTACAGTTTCCCCTTTGATCTCAACAGAGTAGTCAATTTCTCTTGCGAATGCTAACGAGAAGGTTGAAATACTAGCTTATACCTCATCTCAGGAGTGGAAAAAAGCCGTCACCAACGCTAAAGACTTTCTTGCTAAGCTCACACTTGAAGAGAAAGCGTACATTGCCACCGGTGTTGCAGGGTATGATAGTCCCCTTGCCTGCTTCTTACTTCAATTGGTGTACGAGAAAGTCTATTAATGCCTGTACCAGACCATGCACAGGAAGCATCGCACCGATTGAGCGCTTGGGCTTTCGCGGCATATGCATTCAAGGCAGGCTTCCCTCCAAACTAGCGTGATGTCGTTGACTAACTGACAGACAGATGGTCCTTTGGCAGTCCGACCAGCTGTAATTCTTCTCCCTTTGTGTCATGATGATACCTGTATACAAGCTAATCATTACCGGTTCATTGATAGGACTTTGCCAGCGTGTATCCAGCCGGTGTTTCTGTTGGAGCAAGTTGGGATAAGCAACTTGCCTACGAGAGAGGCTTCCTTCTTGGGGAGGAGTTCAAAGCAAAAGGAGCTCATGTAATGCTTGGGTAACGTGTTCTCTTATCTAACTGTGGGGGAACATACTGACGTCTGAAAATAAGACCTGTTGTTGGATCCATTGGAAGGAACCCTCTGGGTGGTCGAAATTGGGAAGGATTTGGGCCTGACCCATACCTCACTGGTGAGCTAAGCTACCAAAGTATTATTGGGACTCGAACAGTCGGAATGCAGTCATGCGTCAAACATTATGTCGGCTATGAGCAGGCTACCGGCCAAAACCCAACTACGAACGCGGACGGAGTAGTCATTGAGGGTTATTCATCGAATATTGATGACCGCACCATGCATGAAATATACTCGTGGCCCTTTGCAAAAGCAGTAAGGGCTGGGGTATCATCGGTTATGTGCGCCTATTCAAGAATCAATGGCTCATACGCCTGTGAAAACCCCAAAACTCTCGACGGGATCTTGAAGGAGGAGCTTGGCTTCCCAGGCTATGTTATGAGCGATTGGGGTGCGACTATGTCGGGCGTCCAAGCCATCGAAAGCGGCTTAGACATGACCATGCCAGGCGCATTAATGGGCTCTGGCCGTACAACTTGGGGCTTCTCATTATTTGGCGGCAACCTCACTCAAGCGGTGGAGAATGGAACCTTGTCCATGTCACGCGTTAACGACATGGTGCTCCGAGTAATGACTCCTTACTTTTATCTGAACCAGGATGATAAGCACTGGCCGCTCATTGATCCAAGCTCTCAGGAACTGGGTGATTTCTCTGACAGCATGGCAAACTACTCCTGGCCAGTTGGCGGGGAAGCGCATCGGGACGTGCGTGGGAACAATGCAGCCTTCATTCGGAAGCTTGGAGCGGAGTCAGTGACTCTGCTCAAGAATAAAAATAGTGCTCTGCCGATTAAAGAAATCCCTCGCTACATTGGGGTCTTTGGTAACGATGCAGCTGACAAGTCGGCCGGTCTGGCATCCAGCCCCGACTCCGAAGCCATCGGCACGTTTGCGACTGGTGGTGGAAGTGGCTCAGGACGGCTCACTTACATCGTGTCTCCCTTGGAGGCAATCAAGTCCTGGGCCAAAGGGAGATCAAATTCCTTGGTCCAGTATCTGACCGACAATGAGTTGACCCCCGGCCTTCTTCACCCAACCAATGTGGGCTTTGGCGACTCCATCTACCCCATTCCAGAAGTATGTTTCGTCTTCCTTCGATACTACGTATCTGAAGGGCCGGATCACAGTGATTTCGATTTAGATAACAATGGAAGTTCAGTTGTGAACTCCGTGGCTTCTATCTGCAATAACACAATCGTGGTTACCCACTCTGGAAACGTGAACCTGATGGACTGGGCAGATCATCCCAATGTCACAGCCATCGTAAGGAAGCCCTCTATTCTCTGAGAAAGGCCTTGCGCAATTACTGACAATGAACCTTTCTTATACAATTAGATGATGGCCTACATGCCCGGTCAAGAATCCGGAAATGCTATTCTAGACGTAATCACCGGCAAAGTCAACCCCAGCGGCAAACTGCCATTTACAGTCGCTTACAACGCCAGCGATTACAACACAGCTTCCGTGAACTTCACAGCCATGAACATCACAAATTCGAATGGACGGCAGATCAATTTCACAGAAGGGCAATTTATCGACTACCGCCATTTCGACAAGGCAGGAATCACTCCGAGGTACGAATTCGGGTACGGCCTATCCTACACAACATTCTCCATCCAGGAACTGTCCCTCGAGCCCACGAACAAAGGGAATGTGGCCTCGCTTCCCGATAACAGCAGAGCTATACAGCCTGGCGGACACCCAGACCTCTATGAAATCCTCATAACCGTTGAGTCCAATGTAACCAATACTGGAGCGTTGGCGGGCGCAACGGTACCTCAACTATATCTTGCCTTCCCGCAAGACACGACTCCTCCTGGAACCCCGGTCAAGGTGCTTCGAGGCTTTGACAAGATATATCTCGAAGCTGGATGTAGTCGAACGGTGACATTTGAGCTAACCCGCAAGGATGTGAGCTTTTGGAATGTAGTGAAGCAACAGTGGGAGATCCCCGCTGGTACCTTTGAGGCTATGGTTGGGTTGAGCAGTCGGAAGATCTCGGTCAAGAAGCAGTTTGATGTGCTTAGACGTCGGTGATACTTCATATAGCTGTTCGAGTGTCTGGGGAGAGGTCATCAGACTGGAGAGCCAGTAGGTCGGACGTCTGCCAGCTTCATCCGCTACCGGTATAGGTGATATCATGACTAGGTAGACAGCTTCTATAACAGTATCTCAGTTGGATAATATAAAGATGACCCGACATACAGTGAGAGACAGCATAGTAGGTAGAATTCTGTATCCATTTATTCACCTCTTATTATCTCCTTGCGTATCAAATTGTCCATTCTCCACAAGGTATCACGCAATTCGAAGGCATCTTGAAAACTCCAGTCAAGTTGCACTGGGGCCTCTTCGAATATACATATATATATCTCTCTCCAGCGAGGCGCACTAAGCCAGTCTGACAAGAAAAAAAAAAAGGTCCAGGCATCCAAGCTGCTTCATGTTCCACAAACAAGACAATCAAACCGAACCCCCCTGATCCCACCCATCTGGCTAAGCGAAATCCACATCAAGACACCACACACTTCAAAACACACAATAATCTACTGTATAATAATCAGCGACATAACTTGCATAGCAACCAAGGATTGCAACGTTCATATTGACGCACACAAGGTTTCTGCACCTTTTTCTTGGCAGATTTTATCTGGTAAATCCCGGCGCCTGAGTGGACCTCATGCGGGATGTCACTATCAGTGACAACGGTAGGTTCCTAAGATCTTCCTTATACAATATGGATCTTTCCATTGATGAAGTTGATATTAATAGTCATATGACGTGTATGATGTGAGTCATTCTAGGCCTTGTTCTGGACTTTTCTCGTCTCGTTAAGCGAATACTGGCTTGTCAGACATGGTGTCCTAGAGATTGTCAATATCACGATCTACGAATGGGCTGTAAGCTTCTCTGCAAGTTTCTCTTTGTCGATGAAGAAATTTGTATGGCTCTAAATTCAAGGCCTACTTTACAAAGCGATCTAGACTATCATATCTGGGGCTGGGCAATCATCAACCAATCCATCTAATTCTGGTCGGGCTACATCTGGGATAGCTAATTAAAGGGAGATATCGTGGTGTATATTGAAAGTACATTGGGTATCTTTTCAAAGCATAATGCTCACTATATTGAAAAGGCATGTTGTATGTTGACTACGTTGTAATTGTCTGGGTTCTACTTTGGTTGTTATTATTATGTGCCCGAGATATCCGTAGGAGTAGTTTCGATCTCATACATCGTTCGTATGTGTAGTGTTACAGCTCTGAAATACAAGCTCTGTTGTCTTCATTATGTCTAATATGTCGTGTTTGTATTCTGATTTTGTATGCATATAATGACTATATGTGCGTTATGTGACAATTTAGAGATAGCTTAGTCCTCTGGAACATACTACTATTAGAGCTCGTACCTAGAATCAATCTGATATCTCTCATGGTTGAGATTTATAGCTTGCAGTACCTTTCGTCTCTCTGGATCACGCAAGCTGTATAAACCACACTTGGGTCGAATGTAGGCAGACAATAGGACTGCGTTTGTCCTAACCTACAAACCATCTCAGAACATCCAAATCGGGATATTCTGGTAACTCGAAAAATCAGAAATGATCTATCATGGAGAGAAATTGACATTACATATTCTGTCTCAGTCTTCGCTTGTCTTTTCCCTTTTGCATTGGTGAGTCGGTTTATCCCGTTTACTTCAAGGAAATATCCATCCAACTTCAACCTGCCATTTCGGCCTCAAGGCCTGGCCTCTTTGTGTTCCGGGTATTTAGTCCTCCTCTCTCGCATTGTTCCCCTTGTCTTCTGCTTTGGTGGGGTTCTCCAAGACTGCTGTCGTTTGCCTTTGTTACCTGAATCAGAGGGCAGCATCACTGTGCTGCTCCTGTTCAGGCTTGCTAGAAGCATCCAAAGCCTACTGTTCAGCATTGTTCGATACCCATATCACAGCTCTTGTTACCCCTCTCATCTAACACAGCTAACACAAGGAAAGAAGCGAAGGAGTCATTGTAGAGCTGGCGTGTTTATCATACACAACTCTGACTACAAACAAGTGCTTTGTGAAGTAATCACATTGTTCACATATTATTCGATTCAGAAGTGCGAGACGTGCTCTATTGTCAGTATATGCCTGTTCTACTCAGTTTCATACCTCTGGCTTCTTTATGATACCCACATCCAAAGCTCTTTGTTATATTCCCAACGCAGCCATTCTCTCAGTTCTCTGAGAAACAAAACAAAGATTCTCTTTGTTACTTATCTCAACAAATCCCTTGTCCTTATTGTATGACATTGACCTTCAGGAACCAAACGACTGACAGCATTCCAAACTGAGTTATATAGGGGAGTTCTATATCCTGGATTGTGCCGGAATACAATCTCTCCTAGCAGCACGCTGTTGGCTATTGGCACGCACTATTCCAATAATCAGCCTCTCACGAGACCTCTATCTATCTCTTAACTAGGTATACTTTGCTTGCACGTTGCACGTCTCTTCCATTCGTGAGCAAACTTACCGGTCAATCCCTTACAATGACCACGAAGAGAACGTTCGACCAAGCTGGTCTTGGGGACGAAGAGAATCAGGCCGTGAAACGGCAATCGGGCGAGGATCAGTCCTTCAGCCCCGATGACCTTTTTGGTGACCTCGGGCTTGACGTTGACGTTGATGATATTCAAGATCCGCATCCTGATCAAACATATCTTTTCAAAGCTATGCATTCCTCCAACCAAGCTCAGGCTCGTGCATTGGAGGATACACAATTACAACAAGACCTGGACCCTACTTATCTCCCAGTTTCCTTGGAAGGTATAACAGCACACATGATCCCGACCAAACCTGCATCGACAGTGGACGACGGTCTTGACCCCCTTGTCGAACGGTCGTCCGCGAGCGATGGTGCATCCCGGGGCAATGATGACCAGACATCTCTGGATGGAGGTGTCTCCGCCAGTCAGGTCACCTTTGACAACGGAGGTCCTGCTGAAAGCAACAATGCACCCACTGAGAATCCTGCTGCAGCGGCGGCTGCCAACGTACACATACCTCAAGAGGAAGCCCCAGCGCCGCCCAAGAAGAGAAAAGGACGCCCTCCGGGCTCTCGCAACGCCACCACCCGTGCCTCTAAGAAGAAAAAGACCAAAGATGATTCGTCAGAAAAGACTGATGACGAAAAGGAAGATCGAAGGGACGCGTCACAAGAAATGCGCGACAACTACCTAAAGAAAATCCCAGCAAGGCCCCTTAGGCCGGGCGAAGAGGAGGACGAGACAGAAGCAGAGCTAAGCGAAGATGACGAAGAAAGTGAGGTGGAGGGCAGAAAAGGGAAGAAGGGGAAGAGAGGTAAGAAGGGAAAAAGAGGTAAGAGAAGAGAAACCCAAGAAAATGTGACTATGGTAACGAAGAAAAGAAACAGATTCCTCGCGGACCACCCTTGCCTGTGACAATTGCAAAGTATGTGATACCCTTTCTTGTGATCTTGTTGCCCTGACTGACTCCATTTCTTTGTCAAATAGATGCGGAAAGCGAAATGCGACAAGGGATTGTTCGGCTGCGGGAAGTGCAGGGAAAGTAAAAAGACTTGTTGGGTTACTGATCCAATTTGGCTTCGCACTGAGCGTCGCGGAGCCATTATATTGATGCGTCGGAAGATCACGCATCTGGAGTGGTGGAACAACTGCCTTGATCAGGCAGCACGAGCACTCAGCATCAGAGTGCAAGACCTCCTGGAACAGCTTCGAATTGCGGTAAGCATTCTTCATACCAGACATTTCGATCAATCACTCACTGACCTCACCGTTACTTTATCCAGAATATAACTCCAGTTCCCGAGAAGCCTATAGACATCGACATCACTAAGCCTCTTATGCAACAAACTATACGTTATTTAAAGCAGAGCCGAAGGGGCGCAAACACTCTCGATGAATACCCTGCTGAATTCAATACCCAGGGGCCTGGTGATTTGGAAGACTTGATAAGCTCTCCGTTGGAACCCTATCCTGAGAACCATCCAAAGGGGCATCCTGAATACAACACCCAGGGCGAACCCGACCTCGAAGACTACGTCGATGACGGATTTGGTGACCCGACGCCGAATACAATCAGGCAAATGTTTGAACAGAAGCTCGCAAGGGGCTCAAGGGCCCAAGTACAGGGGCCCGCTGGATCACAACAGAACGAAGCCATGCCCGGCCATGTTAATAATGGAACCAGGCCCGCGCACCCGACGGGCCGTCGTCCTTCGCAACAGGGGACTATACAATATCCCGCGACTCCCCCTGCTGCAGCATTTGGGGGTCGTTATGCGCAGGTAAACATGGGCCAGCTTTCGAAGCAGGCTGGCCTGCAACAAGATCCCACCTACAACGCTCAATTCAATCAGCTGCCGTCGGGCCAATTCCCACCCAACTTTCCACCCACTACGCCTTACCTAGCTAATCAGCCCTTCTTCGCCCTTCCCCGGGGTTATCAGCAACCCCGGCCACAACCCCAGCAGCAGCAGCAGCAGCAGCTGAAACAGCAACGTCATGCTGCTCAGCCCTCCACCACCGTTCCAGCACCACCTGCGACCGAATCCTCCATCTCAACACGTTGGCCCCGATCCGAGACCTCCTCCATGCAGGGCAACAACAACATGTTCGCCCATGCTGCCCGACAGGTACACTCCAGTGCCCTTGAAGACCTCGCCAGATACCAATACCAGCAGCAGCAACAGCAGCAGCAGATGGCCAACGCCAACCTCCCCGCCACCCCCAAGCAGCCCACCAACTACGAAACCCTCCCCCAAATCAACACTCCCGGATACTCATCCCATTACCCCTACGAGCAGGGTAACACAGGTCAAGACGACGCCCAACTCGCTGCCGCTGCATATGCCGATCTATCTGATCCTAATTTCGAACGGCTTCTCACTGCAAATGAATATAGTTACTATGGTACTGACCCCGCTATAGGATGGTCGAACATACCCGGGGTCTCGGCCTACCCGCCTGAAGATATGAGCTTGGCTGGTGTGCCTTCTTCATCGGCAGGTGTTTCGCAGCCTCCGACCTCGGCGGCGACTACTACTGCCACTACTGCCACTGCTTCTGATGCTACGTCTCATAAGAGGGCGAAGAGGGGTGGTGGAAGGAAGAAGAAGCAGCAGCAGCAGCAGCCGCAGCAGTAGGTTGGGGTACTGGGACTTGCTTTTGAGTAACTTTAAGTCTGGGGTATCTGAGGAGATGTACAGTTGTTTTCAGTTCTTCTTGTGGACATACTATCTCCAAATAGTTATCTACTTGCTTTGCTATTGATCGACTCTCCTCTTTAGGCCCTCCCCTCTTGCTTAAGTGGGACGTGTGGCATAGTAGTAGAAGGGAGGACTCTTCCTCTTATGCCTTGGGGGTAGGGGGTTATATACGACGGAATGATGTTTAATTATTGGAAAACTACGATGAAAAAGTGATTACGAATAGGTAATGTTGGGGAGCAAATATTGTTTCATTTGTTACTAGTTGTTATGACTTAATGTTTTGTTAATATTATTTTTTTTATTGTTTATGAGTCAAGTATGCACATTTTCAATGATACTTGTACCGTTACCATTCTTTGCAGTATTTGATTACTCTATAAAACCCGAAAAATTTCTTCTACTACACTAGTAGTAGTAGTAGTAGTAGTAGTAGTAGTAGTAGTAGTAGTAGTAGTAGTAGTAGTAGTAGTATTCCCATCCTCTGAACCAATCAAACCAACTACACCAAGCCATATCAACCCAAACCCTAACCTAAAATCCAAGGCTCCTACTAACTATACATGCATCCATGACTCCAATAACCACCTCAAACTTATGAACCCACCCCTTCCCAAAAATCAATACAGTAATAAAATAACGTAATCTCCCAAAAAATACTCAGCCCCAATACCCACTCCAAATCCAAATAATCTATATTCAACTGAGAACGCATCACTCCTTCTTCCTCGGCCTATAACAACAAACCACCCCCTTACTCTCACACCACCTCCTCACGAACCCCGCCCCGACCTCCCGATCCTCATTCACGAGACCCAGTCCCTCTGTGTTTAACCAAGTGGTGAACTCCTCCAAAGGAATAGGGTCGTACATGAGAATTTTCTCGTGCCATGTTTGTTTCCTTGTGTGAGTCTTATTGCTGTTGGATGATGCAGGGTGGGCTGCGGATTGGGCACGCACGGCTTTGGTGATTTGCTCAGTTAGGGGGAGAAGTATGGCGGGGGGTTCTGGTTCTTTGGGAACGGATGTGGATGTGGTTCGATTAGGACTTGATGGTAAGTTGGATGTAGGGAGGGTGTGGGCGTGTTTGTGATTTGTTTGGAGGGTCTGGGGTAGGAGGCGGCTGGGAGAGGGGAAGGAGATGGGGTCGGAGTCTTCTTCGGAGTCTTCGATTTCCTCGACGTTGGCGTAGGAAGGGGTAGGTTTGGAAATTGAGGTTGAGGTTGAGGTTGTGGTGTTAGAGTTGGGATTGCTTGGAGATTTTGTTGTTGAGATGGCTTCGGTTGTTGACTTTGATGATGTACTAGGTTGAGTTTTGGCTTTCGCCTTCGTGGTGGTTTTCCGTGTTGTTCCTTTCCCCTTTGGCTTATTACCAGGCTCAGGTGCTGATTCGGGTTCAGCAGGCGTTTCCTGATCTGTATTCTCGTTGTTTGCCTCTGATGATATGCTGTTCTTTGCTTTCCAGCACTTTTCAAGCAGCTCAATCATCTTCTTCCGGTTTTTGAGCGGTTTGAAGCCGAATGAGGCGGCTTGTTTCGATAGCTGGGCATCTGTGAAGTTGTCGTATTGCGGCATCTTAGGGTCGGGCTTGCGGGCAATGGATGTGGTATTCTCGGCCTTTTTGTTCTTTGACTGAGTGGTTGAAGGTACAACAGGCTGTGTTTCGCTTGTCGAAGCAGCTTTTGCCTGGTCGCTACCTTTCTGGGTAGGGTTGATGTCGCTGGTATTGCATTCGGCTTCAGCTACTCTCTTGGCGTTGCTAGGTCGCTCATCCAGAGTGATAGTCCCAGATCTATCAGGCGAATTCACCAGATCCACCACTTCTACCTGCATTAGTGAACCGTCAACATCCCGAGATGCGACCGACCACAAGTTTCCTGAGCCATTGAAGCGTGAGACTGTAGAGGATGAGCCCTTGCTTTGCGTTCGATGCGGACGACCGCTGGCTTCCAACGTCATGCTTCGTTCCGACTCGCTAATAGCTGCCTGCAGCTCTCTTATAGTAGTGGGTGAGTCTTCCCGCTCCAGCTGGCTGCATGTGCCAAATACCAGCTCTTGATCATCGAGGGACTTAGCAGCTTCTTCGGGAGAAAGCACCACGAACTCGGGTTCGTAAGACTTGCTTGCCTGGCCCTTTTTCTTGGATCTTGAAACTTTAGGCTTCGCTTTCGGTGTCTCTTCGTCTACGACATCTGAACCCTCCGTAGACTCGTTGATATACTTCGCTGTCACGCGGGCAGTGAGAGTGGTAAATTTGTTGGCACGCTTCGTCGGCTTCTTTCGCGCAGCTGGTGTTGATTTGCGGGTTCCCTCTGTGTTATCCTTCTCACTATCGTCGGCGACACTTTGTCTGGGAGCAGGATATACTCCGGGATCAACCAGCTCTATCCGCCTTCGCTTCGTCGGTCCACCTTCGACAGAGGCCATAAAGTCGTTTACAGGAGCAGCAGCTCCATTAAACCCATACTCCGACAGCAGGTTACCAAAACCCCTTGTATTATCATCTGACCCTGACTTCCCTTCCAACTCAACGACTTCCTTAACCTTATTGACTGTAGGTGTCCAGTCCAATCTCCGCGTCATCGCTTGCTCAAGCTGTAAGCCATCCCTTTCCCATTCCAGCACATCATTCGTAGCCTTCAGGGGCAGAGCAGTCGTTGGTGTCGACGGACAAATAGCCTTCTCGCCCGCCTCCTTGACTTGCGGAGTGCCCGCCTTCGCAACCCTCCCAGAAATAGTCTTATTCGCCTGCTTCGAGCGCTTTGTCGCAGGTTGAGCGCGTTTCTTACTAGTTCCTGTGATAGTCTTTTTCGTAGTAGTCTTCTCGTTGCCCGTAACACAGGGCCCCAGCTCCTCCGTAGCTCTTTTCTGCTCCTTCTTTGGCCTACCCCTTCGCTTCGGTTTATCTGTCGCCGGTTCTCCCTCTAGCGTTGTAACAGCGGAATCATCATTCGTCAAGGTACTAGACTTCTTGCGGGTTTCATCTCGGCGCAATTCGTCGACCTGATTCCCAACCTCGAAAAACCTAGAATGCGTCGGAGGACAAAACAAGTCCGACGGAGACGGCAGCGGAGTCGTTTCAACGTCTACTGGGGACAATCCAAAGAGTCTTTCGGGATCATACGCAGGCGGCGCTGGCGTGTGAACTGGGTTGCGCTCCGGCGAGGAGGAAATCACCAGGACCTCCGCGGTGGCGGACATGGTGGCGAGTCGCAACAAATATCAGGACGAGCGCTTGCTCGACATTAGTGCGCGTTCGGGTTGGTGAGTGTAGTGCGCTAAATATGCTTCCCCCTGCGCTAGTGAGCCATGGTGTTATGCTATATGCTTGAGCCCCGGACGGTGGGTGTCTAGATCAATTCAGTCGCGATGATGCGGAGAGAGTTGCCGGGCTTGGCAAAGTTGCAGGATTGCCGCTTTGGGTTGGGGGATGCGGTGGGCAGGGCAACCGAGGTATGTTCTTTACTCATCTTTCTAATTCAGTGTATATCGTACTAGATTTGTATATGCAATATATTGGAGGCCATATATTATCTTCTAGAGTCTTATTTTTGGCTGGACAAAGCCGTAATCGGTGCTCTGCACCGACGCTATCGGCGGCCCTGAATTCTATGTACATCAGATCATAATTTCTAATAGTAGACGTGTCCTGCATAGCTACTTCTAGCAGACATCAATCTGCAGAAGTAGCTCTTTACATGCAAAAGCTTCGACCCGGCATCAGGCCTAGGGTATCGACTGTCGGGTAACGCAGACATTCTGCATGTGGCGCGCCCGCTTTACAGGGCCCTGAGTACCCAAACGAGCGAGATCGGGGTAATAGAGAAGACTTCCTATATTCAACGTCATGTTCAAGTCGCTCCCCGCAGCGCAATCGCTCCCAAGACCGACAGTTCGAGCCGTCGCAATCCGTCATCATGCGTTCCGTTTGCTTGGTTCGGCGGCGCAGTGTTCAACGCTCCCAGCTTGTAAGCCTTCTTGATCTTTGCAACGTCGGAGATCTTCGACAAAGTTTCGTCGTCGAATGGCACAGGCGTTCCCTCTACATTTTGTTCGAGATGGGCTGCTACCGAGTCGTGGGTGATCTCCGGGTTCACGGAAAGCTTGACTACTAGCAAGTCTTTCGTGGAATCAGTAATGCCGAACTTGCGGAAAGATTCAGCAATCTAGACGTGGTCAGCATTGCTCATGAAGTCGATTGGTAGCTGATCGTAAACATACATTTGTCGCAGGGCTTAGCGAAAAGACCATCTCAGAGTGCACATTCCGGGATTTGAGGCGGCCGTTCATATAATCATTGACTGCTCTGAAAACTGCGGAGAGAAGGTGTGTTCTTGAGAGGACCTGCAGCATTGTTCAGCAGTTGCTCCGCCGAGAGACATACTGACACCGTACCGTGCTTGCATCAATGAAAGCATATTCGAATTCCGCATTGGCGGACATGAGCTGCTGGCGAAGATACGGAGCATTCTGCACATCCCGATATAGAGCGACATGCACGGGCATCGACGGAGGCAGATGCGACAGGTGGATGGTTTCTAGTAATGGCGCAGGCATGATGGGAATAGTGACGCAGAGGTGAAGTCCAGAAGGGGAATTATCGAGAAGAGGGTCGAAGAAGGTACGCGTTCGTAGAATTCCGGACCGAGATGATGACAATAGCAGTGTGGCCGTGCAAGTCCGTTAAGTCCTAAATCCTGATAATTCCCCTCCCCCGCCAACTTATCACCGAGGCCGTGATGCTGACTCACGGGCGGCTCATCTCACACGTGACTTCACTTCTCGAACGTTCGGGCGACCGTAGCAGCTGGCCGACGGCTGACTGATATCATTCTTATAGCCGGCCATCCGCCGCTCTCCATCGCTTCTCCTCATCTCCATCAACCTCGACATCATCGTCACAATCATGGCGTTCTTCTTGCGACGCCCGTTCGCCGTCCCTACGGCGCTTCGGCAAATCTCCAAACCTGCGAATAGCGCTCGTTTCATCCACAATACGCCCTTCAAGCCCCAGTCCAAGCCTACCGGTCCCATCTCCATCTTCGCAAAGTCCCGTCAGACCTTCCAAAATGCTTTCCGTCGCACCTACATGCAGCCCTCCTACAATGTTCAGGGTGGCAACATCACCCAGAAGCTGATCTACGGTGCCACTATCATCGGTGGTACTATCCTGGCAACGAACTTCATCTTCAACCGCGAAACCAGAGAGGATGGTGGCATGCCTCCGTTTGAGCGCAGCTACCTGAACGAGACGTTTATGCACACTGGACTTGGTATTGGTATCATTGGTATCGCTGCTCGCGCTCTGCACACCAACGGATGGTCTTACCGTTTGATGGCTGCCAGCCCCTGGGCTGTCATCGGTCTTGGTCTGGTTGCCAGCGTCGGAACCATGTATGGTACTCTGTACACCAACCCTGACAAGTAAGTACTTTCACCAGCGCAGGTCTTTTTTTTCCTATGCGACAGTTTTCTGACAAGTTATTAGCTACGTCATGAAGTATGGTCTCTGGGCAGCTTTCAACGTCACCCAGGCCGCGCTCCTGTCTCCCCTGATGTTCATGCACCCGGCTATCCTTGCTCGTGCTGGTCTTTACACCGCTGGAATGATGGGTGCGATCGCTTTCGTCGGTGCCACTGCTAAGCAGGAGAAGTACATGTACCTGGGTGCTCCTTTGCTCGCTGGTGTGACCATTGTCGCTCTCTCCGGTTTCGCTCCTCTCGTCCTCCCCGCTACTGCCACCCGCGCTCTGCTGTGGTCTGAGAAGATCTGGCTGTACGGTGGTCTCGCTGTCTTCGGTGGTTTCACCCTCTATGACGTCCAGAAGATTCTCCACCACGCCCGCATGGCTCAGAGAGGCCTGGTCCGCAAGGATGTCGTCAACGAGAGTATCAGCCTTGAGTTGGACTTCATCAATATCTTCGTCCGTATGGTCCAGATCCTGGGCATGCGCAACAACAACCGGAGGTAAACGCATTTCGCATTTGCAACTCTATGATCGCCCTGGTGTAAAGCCAGGGTGCCCAAATGCATGAGCATCTCATTGCACTCAGCACCCGAATATACACGGTCTCGAACACTACGATGATTCGGAACTAAGTGGCATTTGTCTTTTCTGAAAATTCGATTGTATTAGTATTTGCTGCATGGTTTCCACCAAATAATTCAGCCTGTATATGGAAGGGCACACACTATCTGTCCGCACCTTTGGCCAGCGAGGTCATAGGTCAGCCACGCCGTTCCCGGTGACAAGGGACCGTGGCGACAGATAGATCTGATGGAATACTCTTTTGTCGATATCTAGAGGTGGAAACCCACTAATCTCCACTCTCAATCCATCACCATGAACACATCCAAAAACATCCGTAGGAAGCATATGCTTCTATCGTAAAGCCACTATAGACCTCCAGCTTCTCCATCTTGACCATACCTCTCAGGCCTATTAATAGAAATTAATCCCACATACGGAGTAAATATCCCAATTACATCATACCTCTCATATCCACAACCCCCAAACCCCCAGAATTCCACTACCCTCACCCTCCATCAGCACAGCAACACACAATACTCCCCAACCCAATCTTCCACCGAGCTCGCGGAGTGCAACCACTAGCTCATGGATAATCTTATGATAAGGTAACCGGCGATTCCGCTCTGAACTACAGATTCAGGTCAGGACCTGTTGTGCCTCAAGCTCTTTGGTTTCGTGTGGTCTCACGCGGGGCTTTTTGGGCGTCGGATGCCCTGCTTGCAACGTGTAGTAAACCACTCGATGTGTTACATGGAGATGGTCTGCTATTTCGAAGACTTGGTAACCTAGTTCGTGGGGGGTTACTGAGGAGGTTGTTAGGTGGTGAGGTAGGCAATAGTCTCCAGGTTGAGCCAAACTTCTATATCATAATCTACTCTACCACATGGTTTAAAGAAAATCTCACTTCCAATTCACGGAACTTCGGAGTATTCTGGAATTCACATCATCCAACATAAAGCAACATAGCTTCCTTTCTCATGGCATCGTACTTTGTGTAGAAAGAAGAATAATTGACACATTACAATTCCTGCCGATCTCCAACCATTTTGTCCTTAGGGGAAAATAACTCCGTACGCCGTACGCCTGAACTATGTACCCAGAAATCCATCAACGAACTTCACCCGATGTTATGAGAAACAGGACCGCATTTTGTCATACAGAAACACTCTGCACAAGCTCCGCGTGCCCTGTAGACTGCCTACAGGTACTGTGGCCGAAGAAACCGAGACGAGCTGTGAATAAAAGCAAGGAGATGAACTTCATAAGCATGATTGAGTATATCAACCTTCTCGGTATCGTTAACCGTCACCATGTACTCAGGAGACACAGGATTCTTCCTCCGCTTATGATCATTCTTCGCCAGCTCTATCTTGATGTCCTTCTTAATCTGACGCACATTGAGCCCACCCACACGGGGAGTAAACACCATGTTAGCTATATGACAATAGCTATCTCCATTGATCTGCCCGAAGGTTCGCAGTATCAGAGCGACAGTCTTCCAGCGTCGACATCTCTCCTCGGGCAGACGAATCTGGAGTGTCTTTTCAGGCCAACGGCACTCGAACAGATCATTGTATAGTCGACTATACGGAGGGTCAGGGAAGTATCCGTTGAACTTTTCTCTCAGAATCATCTTGTTGCCTCTCACAGCACATGCTGAATGACGGATTCGGATGGTTAGAAGGAGGGAATGATCTTCAAGGCCTTCTAGGTTCACAAAGTGGGTGTTTGCCGCTTTGATCATTAGACTGACTGAGTAGCCGATCTTTGGTCGTGAAGGATCATGGATGCATTCATTTAGTGTCATAACACAGCCTACCACGTCGAATGCTATGTCGAGCTGCGCGTTTGGTTGATGCAATTCGTGGACTTGGTCGGGTTCAGAGCCTGTCAGAATTGCTTCGATCTTGGGAAAGGGCTTAGGGGAGCGGAAATGGCAGAAGCATTGGGGGTCGTCGCTATCAGAAGATGAGGAGGTTAGAGGATCGATTAATGCTTATATAGAGAGGGAAATTTCCGGGAATTGAGCTCACCATGGTAAATTCGAGACCGACTTGCCGCTCATCGCGGCGCAGTCTCTCTTTCTCGCTCAATGAATGAGAGGTTCGCCTGAGATTAGGAGAATATGGGTTTTGCTTTCGATACTTGGGTGAGAGCTTGTCTATGCCGATGAAGATGAGCAAGGAAGATGGAGAAGATTGCCGCGGGGGCAGCTGGATTGAAGACGGGTCTCATGTTGTGACTATGTTTAACACATTCACGTCGAGGGGCTGGCTATATTCACTGATATTCCCCAAAGCTCTGTTTCTACAGTAGAGAACGAGTACGCAGGGAAGCTCTTCTTATCAGCTCTCAGTTACTCAGACTAGACCCAGCACACCGTCTTCAGCAGGAACACAAGATATCACCACATGGTCAAAGGAAACTATTGGTGTCAGTATGGCTATTCATAATGGTGGATGTCTCACAGCTTATTATTGCCTGTTTCTAACAGAGTCTCATAAATCCCTCAAGCCTGCCCCATTCATCGACAACATGTAATCATACTCTGAAACAGGATGAGGGTGATCATGGAGTGCAATTTCAAGCGGTAGACAATGCCACTGGTAAGTACAGTTCAAAGATAACTCATCTAATGGATAGACATTTTGGAACTTGTAGCTTGAAAAACGTGCTCATTGACGATATGGACATTTGTTGGCGGATTTTGATCGTTCCAGGTGAACAGTAACCTGACAATAAGGCTGGACATCTCTGCTAGAAGGGAGGCCTGTTTTACCCCACAAAATTTTGTAGGAGTATTACATGTCTTTAAGCCAGCTTCATGAATAATCAGCCGTTGTAGTCGTTGAGCCCTTCAGCAATTGTGTATGTAGATGCACTTATCCTCATCTGGTTGCGTTGATAGAAACATACCTTCACTGGCATACGCTACAGATAAACGACCATTGGAACTGCAACCAAAGTCCCGACTCTGAGATATTATACAGTAATGCAACAACCATATCTTACGAACCACTACTCTGCTCTTGTTCTAACCAGCACATGAGTTGTACCATGCACTATACTGCTTTTTATGGATTGTGATATCAAAGGTCTCTGAGAGAAGCCTCTACAGATCATACAAACAATACAAATAACTTCACAAGCTCTCTTATAAAATCTGCCCACGCTCGATCTCGAGTAATATTCGTGGAATCGAGAGTAGTATAAAATGGCCATCAACATTGACCGTCGTTGGATATCATTTGATTACATAAGCACACCGCAAGCTTCGCGAAGATCCATCGCATTGCAACAGTTTGGTCATTGAACAGCCCACCTTGGACCAGGACCCCTCCCTTTATCCACCCTTCTCGAGCCAATACTTCCAGTCAATCTAGTCTCGCCTACTTGTCACCATGTCTACAGAAATGGAAGTCGACCCTCCCGTGGCGCAGGAGGAGGAGGTCCCCGCGCAGTCGGGCAACAATACCTCTGATCCGAGAACGCAAGCGTCAGCTGTTGCAGTGCGCAGTATCGAAGGATGGATCATCATCGCGACCAATATTCATGAAGAGGCCTCTGAGGAGGACGTGACGGATCTGTTTGCTGAATATGGAGAGATCAAGAACTTCAATTTGAACCTCGATCGCCGGACGGGTTATGTGAAGGTAGGTGTCTTTAGCTCTTCATCAACGTGGGAATTCATTCTATGATTTTGCTGGATATATTTCCATGCTCAATCTTGATAAAGTATACTGCTACTGAGCATAAGATGAGATACTAAGTGGCTTTTGTCAGGGTTACGCGTTGATCGAATACTCCACCCTCCCCGAAGCCTCGGAAGCCATCAAGGCTTTGAACGGATCCAAATTGCTGGACCAGACAATCCAGGTCGACTTCGCGTTTGTCCGGCCACCCCCATCAAACAAAGGAAAGAACGCTGGACAAAGAGGTGGCCGTGGTGGACGGGGACGCAGCAGGAGCCGGGATAGGAGTCGCAGCCCTGGAGCGGAGGAGGCTAGAGACTAGGCGTATTGTTGTGGCAGCATTGAGGAGTTGACTTTTGTTTACTCTACTTTATGACCTTGGCAGGCACCTTTTATCTTGCTTTCTCTTGCCTCGTCGCGTCTAGCGTTTTGATTTTGCCTTTGTTTTCGCCCTCGAGGACTACACGGCTGCTGAGCCATCCAGACGACTACATGTCAGTTTGATGCGCGCATGTTGGTCACGGTTGGATGGGCACCGTGAGCAGCAGTGGTTACAGCGGGCAATATCTCTTACGACAGTTTTATGCTCCTCTTAACGAGGGTACCCATAGGCTTGCAGCCAGAGGAGATATTTGCCGGCGTCGTAAATAATCAGCGATCTGGTATGTGCAGCTTGTTTCTTTTGGCATCCCGGCCCGTTTCCCCTTCCTTTCACTTCTGCCATCCCTCTTTTCTGTCGCTTGACCTCTGTCATTACTCCCAGCTTCTGTTTCGTCTTGTGGCTTGCTCGAATGCTCATCGCTGACTTAGCTGAAGCAGAAACCCGCTCGCATGATATATCAAGCCAGGATATCCCAAAATTTCTACTAGTTCCAAGATTAATTCAGATGAAACCCACTGCCTCTGATGCTCATGTGGCTGGGGCTATACTTGTAGCATTTTCTGCTCTAATCATCATTTCTTCCATCATCCAGCACATGGATAGGTCTTTCGACCTCTCACATCAATCCCGAGACCCATAGTCCAGATAGAGTTTTGTAGATCCAAATGACTGCTATTGGTCATCAGATAGTGCGTGGAATGCACACTATATATGACTCTGCGACGAATGGATCAGAAGATCGATGGGGACGGGCAGAAATCAGGCATGAGATCCCCGCAGCCCGGGCGCGTGATAGGATACCAAGAACGAGAGCCCACGACGATCGAGTGCGGAGAGGACGAGGCTGGAAGGGAGAGAGCAGCAGCTGAGGCTGCGGAGGGTCAGCCGGAGGGCTGAAAAGCACGGCGAATGGCTGGCTTAGTTAAGCCCCGGGGTCTCTCCTTCCCCGCAACGGCCGAACGTCGAAACTTATCGCTCAACGCCACTTCCTTCCCTCGTTCATGGCCCGGATTGGGGACCATTGACCGTTGAAATATGCCTCATTGGATTCTCGCTGCTCGTTGGATGCTGGCTGTTTTCTGAGCTCTCACTCTCTCCGCGTCTGTCTCGAGTTCTGCGTGCTCAAAGTCAATCCTCACTTATCGTTACCTCGAATCATTCTCGACACTTTGCTTATCGGTATCTCTCCGCCCTTGGTAACCAGGAACCAGGGCCAGGACCAGGACCACGAGACCAGTCGTTCTCTGCGGGATTGAGGGACTTACAACTAGAAAGCCTTCAATATGCGTGCGTTATTTGCTATTCATAGGTTGCTCTGCTTGCTTGCAGTCTTCTCTGAGACCAATGCGCTGGCGTTGCGGTCGCAGGACGTCCTTGCGCCATTGTCTCCAAATGCGCAGATTCCGCTGGAGGATTCAACCGATCCCCCATCAAAGCAGTTTCCCCTTCCTGCTCCAGAGAAGCCTAGTGAACCGATCGGCTCGATAAGTCGCACTTATGACGATTTGCTGGATGCTCTCAAGGTGATGCAGGATGACTACTTCCAGCTTTGGCAAGGCACTTGGCCTACTAGTATCGATTGGACTGCTGCCGTGCTTGGGACTCATGTCTCCGCCACCCTCTCCTCACTGACTTCTACTGCGGGGGATGTATTGGCAGACATTCTTTCAGCGAGTGCTAGCGGGGATCACAGACAGTCGGAAGAAATAACCGAACAGTATACGTTGGGATTCGAGAATCTCATTAACCATTATTTTGACCAAACCTCGGCATTCTACTTTGGCGAGGATGCCTTTGCCGTAAGAAATCAGGCCTTTGATGATATGTTATGGGTCGTTTTGGGATGGCTGGAGAACATAAAGTTCCAAGTCTTGCACAGCGACCTGCATTACGATGACCCCTTCTCACCCAACGAGACAACGAAGCGCCTCTGGCATGGAACCCAGTTTCAGTCCCCGGCGGCTCATCGGGCACGTGTGTTCTATGGACTTGCGTCCGGGGGCTGGGACGTTTCCTTGTGTAATGGCGGGATGATCTGGAGCCCTTACCTGACGCCGTACAAAAATGCCATCACCAATGAGCTGTACATAGCCGCTAGCATCGGGATGTATCTCTACTTTCCCGGAGACTTTATTGATTCACCCTTTATGGGAACCACACTGGACGACGAGAACTGGTCAGACGGTTACCCTCACGATCCAACCCATCTGCAGGCCGCCATCGAGGGATATTCGTGGCTAAATGCCTCCAACATGACGGGTTCCAATGGCCTCTATGGCGATGGCTTCCATATCAGTGGTTGGAAGAGTGCCGATGATCCTGGCACGCGCAAGTGTGATGTCCTCAATACTATGGTATATACATACAACCAGGGAGTGATCCTTAGCGGGCTAAGGGGACTTTGGTTAGCTACTGGTTCGCAGCAATATTTATCTGACGGACACCGATTGGTCAATGATGTGCTCTTGGCTACCGGATGGCCTAACAAAGGCAGTCAGCAGTGGGAAGGGCTTGGCCGCGGAGGTGTGTTGGAGGATGCGTGCGACTCTTCCGGGAGCTGCTCCCAAAATGGACAAACCTTCAAAGGCATCTTCTTTCATCATTTGGCCGAGTTCTGCCGAGACATCCGGCCGCAGGAATTGCGTTTCCTGGCCAGTGCCAACCGCACAGGGGACGGGGAAGACGGCTGGCAGTACGTATACGAGTGGCACCAAGCACGATGCCGGACATACCGCCCCTGGCTCGAGCACAACGCCAACGCAGCTCTGTTGACCAAGAATGGCGACGGCAAGATCGGGGAGTGGTGGGGAAACACCACCGCCACCGACGTGAGTCCTCTGCCGCAGGGGGCGATCGACTATCAAAATTATGGGGCGCAGGCTGAGGGCTCGGAGGCGTTGACGGGCCTTCTCCGTAGCCGTGGCTCTAAGGGTCCCAGCAACGAGGAGACGCTGGGACTTGATTCCACACGACAGCTGCAGGGCTGGGGAGCTGCACCCGAGCGGTCGGGTTTCACAGAGCGTGACTATGTGCCAAACGACTACAACGATCGTGGTCGCGGACGCACTGTTGAGACACAGTCAGGAGGTGTCGCGGTGCTGCGGGCATTGTACCAGTGGAAGACGACTTCGTCTCTTGCATGATCCGGGTCATTCGGCCGAAGGCCTAGCACATGCTGTATGAACGCGTTTGGTTGATTGTATGTTAGGAGTTTCAGGAATACCTACACTAGGACCGGAACAGGCGTTTGGAAGCACGATTACCTTCGTCATCTGTAGGGTGCGGCAGCCATAGTCGCCTACGTACATACACAGGACATGCATCACGTCGTGATCAGCAGAACAAATTTGCCACATAAGTCAATGCCAGCAGTATGGCCGTGGAAGAAACCTCCGTAGCATGCGTTAGTTGGACCCGGGGAAATGAAAAACCGGGGAAAGACACGACATCATCATCAACATCATCGCACATGGCAGGATCACCAGATTGATCCCATCCATCCGCCAGCTCGGCTAGACAAGCGTCCAGCATTTACTTAAAAAGTAAAAATAACTAAATAATTTAGCTGGCACGACCCAACAAAATGGATGAATTTCTTACTACCTGCCGATTAGAGTAAACCCTCCGGATAATATTCTTCCTTGACAGTTAGTTATGACTCTGCAAAAGTAGGTACGTTGGTCGGATAGGATTGGACTATTCAATCCCTCCGTGCCGTCCCGCGTGCTTTTCGGCCCCCGACCCGATCTTCCCCGGGGGCCATGTCATTTCAGCTTCTTTTAATTTCTTTACCATCTTGGATGGATCCTAACTTACAGTAAGCGGAGAGAAATGGAGAGAGTGTGTGTTGTGTTGTGCCGTCCTGTGCCGTGCCGTGTTGTGTTGTTATTGTTATGCGTTGTCTGTCTACTTGTTTAGTTGGGTGAAATTTGGTGGTGAGTTTTTAGTGTTTTGTTTTTTTTTTTTTCCTTGACCGACTATATGATATAATGGCTTGCGGGCCGTGATTACTGCTTACTTCATAAGATTGTTTTCTTTTCTTTTCCGTTTTTGGGAGTGACTGGTAAGTGTACGGAATACTCCGTAGATGATTTGTTATTCTTTTTGGGGGGGCTTTATATTTCATTTTTATTTTCTTTAATTTCGTTGTTCTTGGTAGCGGTTTCTTCTGTATTATTGGGTATGTCATTTTGAGATAATTGCTTGGGATTTTACTAGGGCGTATAGTATCCAGTTTGCTGCATTGCAATGTATACTGACTGGATAACTTGTGAACTGTCAATGAAGAAAATGTAAGGTGATTTGGTAGTGAGGGTAAATGATGATATCACCAGACAGGTTCAATCATTCTTGCTTCTTCTAACTATCTACTTTGTAGTATGTAGTAAACTGAGTAGTGACTGTGACTATTGACGGAGTATTTTGGGTAGTTGCAGCAAAGTAACGTGATATGACGAGATGAGCTGGGTCATGTGTCTCTCTCATCAGTTTCAACTAACTATCTATTTACTTATTGTGTAACTACTGTAGTAGCTAGCTGGTTAACTGGTTAACGGAGGTGATGTAAGCTGGAATGGAATCCCTAAGTACACAGCTATGTGACTACTCAAGTAATCCAATTAGTAGTATGTCAGGTGCCAACGATGTCAGATGTTTGTTGTGTTTGTTGCCACTTAGAAATCAGTGCTTGAATAGGAGGATAATTAATTAGCCCTCTATTCTTCAACATATGACTGGGATTCTCTCTGAAACTACGGGCAGGTATTTGCGATGTACTCATCTGTAGTTAATCAGTAGACTACTCTCTCCACGCACTTCATCTAAATGCCCTGCAAAGTCTAAGGAAACTGTATACATGCCTGTCTGGTTATCTGAGGGTCAGGATAAACCGCGCACAGGCTGCAGCTCCCACTATCAAATGCAAACAGATCAGCCATTTGACATATTAGTAATCTAATCTAAATAACTAACGTAGTTGTAGCAGCGATGGTTATTTAAACTCATAAGCGAAGTATGCGAACCCATACTATAGTAAGCTGTATTAAAGGGCCCGTGGATACTCAGGCTCCATAATAGGTTTTGGAATGAAATGGGCATCTACTCTCGAGAGATGAAGGAGGGGGAAGTGGGTGGAAGGGAAAAAAGAAAAAGGGAAAGCCACTACGCAGACGCATTGACCTTGTGCCCCCCCTATCCCTCCCCTGGTTGATGGTGGTGGACACCCAAGGTTCTAGGAGGAATGATTTAATTTATTCTGGAAGCACTAGGTGGAACTACATATAACAGGACATAAGTCTTTAACCACGGGGGTAGGGTGCCTGCGCCTTGCCGACCATACGATAAGGAGGGGAAGAATGTTCCATGGGAAGATGACCCCGGTCAAGTAGTAGGAGGATGTTATGGACCTGCCGTATGGGTTTAAGGGGGCGCGCGTTCCCTGGCTGACCGTTTCTGCACTGATGGCTGCGTTGACTATTGATTGGGTTGGGTAGGATGGGGGAGGGCGGCAGCAGCTCAAGTCTATGTTATCAGGTCTCCCTCTAGTGCCTCACTCACACACAGACACTACAACACACACATTTTCTCTTTGTGCAAGACGATCGGTGGCTTGGACGAGGTGTATTGTGTGTGGTGGTGGATGGACGGAATGTGGTAGACTAGAGTGGTTTTGCTGGACAGGTCGTCCTCCGTGCTCTGTCTGTGGAGAGTGGATACTCGAGGTATAATCGGATAGGTCTCCTAGTGTTATTTTACCTCTGAGAGCATTGAACAACATCTGAGCAAGTATGGAGACGGAGGGCTAAGTGTCAGGGTCGCGATGATCCTTCATCATCGTGCCTCGACATCAAATGATCGGGTAAAGGCATCAAGCCAAGTAGAGCCGAATTCGGGTTGGCATCATGACTGCTGGTGCTTGCTGGGAGTCTTAGCACTTGCCAGTGTCCTTATTAGCGGAGATTCCCTTCAGCCACTAGCCGATCCCAGATCGGCAGTTCTTTATCGTCACTCGCCAGGGTGGCATTGACCTTCACTGGGCTCATTGGAGCTCGCCCGGAAAGTGGACACTGGACGGAAGGGAGGAGGGGGGAAGAGGCCAAGTGTCTGACTTGCGAAGACAGCTCGGACAAGGTGGTTCCCGTTGGGATTGTCGTGGGGATGTGGTATGTGGTATTTACATCGTCGTGAGTTAGAGAGAAGGGGGACAAATAGATAGACAGGTAGGGTAGATAGATGATAGTAGCGGGTAGTAGGCAGGAACTAAGAATAATAATGCTGGCCGTCAACCATGGAATGGGCGAGTGGAGCAAAAAGGCAGTCACGCGGCCGCCCAGTCGTGGTACCCTTACGTCCTCGTAATCATTGGTATTCTTCCTCCGTATGTATGGTATTATTTCGGGGAATCCTCGCTTCACTCTGTTTCATCCGTCGCTTCGAACAACTGCTAGACAAGAGGATGAGAGGATGCTTCATTTGAAATTGGGTGCCTGCTTGTCCACTATGAGGTCACGGGCTTCTCCCCCCTCCTCCCTTAGGCTACTACACTACTGTATTCACAGTAACAAACTCTGACTGACGGAGACTTGGCTTTACTTAGGTGGCCCCCTCTCTACTAATCTGTCGGACTGACGTGCCTACTACCTACCTGAATCGGCTGCCGATTCCATGTTAAGCCTCCTCATCTGCCTCTATCTTGATACGGCGCAAGACTCCCAATCCCCATCGGGCAGTGGACAACTGTCATAGTCAGGACCCAAAGGGAAAGAAAGGGAAAATAAGGGTTCGGCCGTGGTCCCATCCGGTCACAAGCTCTTTCGCGCGCGCTCTCTTCGCTGGGTGGGGAGCGCGACTGCATGCACCGATGCGGGGGTTAAGGAACGCTTTCCACTGGCTAGTTTGCACCCTGTTGTTCAACGCTCCCCGGTGAATGCATCCCCTCCGTCGAAAACGGAGCTCGCTCACTTGCTGCTCAATTGCGGTTGGGGGCTCATCCTGCAGGTCTGCTTGACCTCGTGTTGATAACCGGATTCATAGGGAAAAGACGCGCCTAGCGAGGAGTGAGGAGTAGCTCCGCGGTATAGCGTACCAAGCTACCAATCTTCGAGATGAGCTGCTCGTCCAGTAGGACGTGGGATATCGCCTTTGCAATGTTTTTCGCCGACCCAGCGCAACTAATGTAGCCGCCGGGGAACGTTCCGGACATCGTCCGTTGGGGCTCATGTATGCAACTGCAGCGCCTTGCTGCAAATTCGCCACGATTGTACTAGCGGTCGAGCTGCGATGCGATCTGTTCGGTGCTGGTGATTCTTTGATAGAACCTACGAGATAACTAGTCGCTCCGCCCGTGACGTTGACCTGTTTCAGTTGCATCCATCAGATCGATGGGACCTGTGTGTCTTGGTGCTGATAGCGCCCGACTTCTCCGTACTTTGTCAGAGCTTCCGGGGCTGAGCCTTGCATTCAGCCAGTCAGGTACATTGCAGCACGGGGAAGTGAAAGTACCATCCGCCAAAGGGGTTGGACAAGAAGAGACATGCTCCAAAATTTCAATTATCAACCGAGACGAGCAATGGCAAAAGATAGGTCCAATGAGAGTGACTTTCATGACGTTCTCATCCGTCATAGTTGAGGTTGCCCCGAGGATGAACCACGGTGAGCGGCGACGGTCAGCGCGCGCAAAGACCTTCAAGCTGCGAAAGAAAATTTGCGCGCGTCTTCCCCGAAGCCTCACCCATGGTCGGGCAATTTCTTCTATTGAGGTTTAATTCCCACCATCTCGGGTCGCGTATCTGTGTGTTATGTTATTACCATTATCATTACTATATTCTTAGTTTCATCGCACGACCGTCGGAAAGCTTCCTTCGTCCATTCCTAGCCGGGCTGGAGAATCTAACTCACACTTGCCCACAGATTCTCATTGCACCGACGAATGGCAATGCACGAAAGCCATCCTATCCCTGTCGCGCGGTAAGTGAATGAATGCATACATGGCTCCTGCCATTTAGTAGGGTTCTGTTAAGAAGGCGCCGTACGGGGTACCCCATACAAGCCCAGGGGAAAAAGGGAAAATCTGAATCACTTTCGTCACATTATCAACCCTATGATTCGATGTTCCGATGGACACATGTTCCCGAAGCGCGATGGGGGGAAGAGATGGATCGGCAGCCTGCACATCCTTTCCTGGTTCTGCTTTGGCTGCTCACTCCCACTCGCTCCCACTCGCTCCCAGCCATGATCCGTCAGAAGGTGTGTCGAACCCGCGGGAATGGATCGTCCTGCCCCAAGCCGTTGACTTTCTTTGTGGTGGAGCTTAAAATCCGACCAGAGAGGGAAAAGTACGCCAGCCCACCTCCACTACCAGATTGGGGGGGTTGGGACCAAAAGGACGATACATCGACATCCAGCACAAAGTACTTACTCCTCCGTATACAGATGCATCGTTCTTATTTTATTTTTATTTTTTCCCTTCCTATTGCTGCAGGTGGAACATAAATGTGCTTTTTTGGCAACTCGTCTACGGCAGGCAAAAACACTAGTGGTGGCAATTGCAAGACTTGGGTTGTAAGTAACTGAGGGGGTTTAAGATACCTCCGGTTGTAGTACCGTCTAGGTGCATTATCAGTGGCACTAGTCAGGATAGCGGGAGGCACGATGAGAGAAAGGTCGAGCGAAGCATTCCGATATTGATCCTGACCCCGTCTTGCGGCGATGGAGGCAAAGCCACGAATCCGATGGCTCGATCGACGTTGCATGACCTCCCCTGAAGACTTGGTGAGAACGTTTTGACTAGGTCCGACTGACTACTATCGCCCCATTTGACGTACTGATACAATCTTCTGCCCTTTTTGTGGCTTAATGATCCGCCGCCGCCTCGGCAATTGCTAAAGGGAGCTAAAGAGGAATGGAGAAGTGAAAGGTTCGCTTCGCATGGAGCCATACATAATTTGTGACTTTTCGCTAGGGGAGGGGGTGGGAAAGTGGAAAAGGCGAGCCGTCTTGCTATTGTTGGCGAGTGATGATTGATCCGTGGCAACAATAATAACAACAGGAAGAAGGGAAGGGAGGGAAGGAGGGAGGGTAAAGAAAAAAAAAAATAAAATCACAATGTAAAAGGGCCATCCAACCTCAGCAGCATCATGCCTCTACATCATCGCCATGGATCATCGTCATACTACTAGCGGTGGATGATGAGGATCATCGCCATTCCTCCGAGAGCGACACCTCGTTGGCGGTGATGGGTGGCCCCCCCTTCAGGGGATTTGGGTTCCCGCTAAGGAGGGCAGCGGCGAACCAAGGGGCGTGAAATCCTGGGTCCGACAGTCACTAACCGAACCACTGCTGAGAAAGGAACAGGACGAACCCCTAAAAGGGCAGCGGCGCCCACCAACCACGGGACGCCAGTCCGAACGGAGGCCCTTCACCGAAACATCATCTGGCGGCTTTTATTTGACCAGAGAGAGAAAGGAAAGTGAGAAAGAGAGACAGTGAGAGAGCTGTCTGCCTCTTTTTTCTTTTTGGTTCTTTTTTAGTCGCTGTTCACGTAGTAGTGAGGTGTGATGATGTATTTTCTGTTTGGTAGATGACTAGTTGTCTCAATGGGATTGGACTCTTTCAATCTATCCATGTGTCTCATGTCTCTCTTTTTCTTGTATTCCTTTTCTTAGCGTTATGTGTCTATTCTGCCTGTCTTGTCTCTGTTTTTTTCGCCTCTCTTTTTTTACATTTCTTGCCTCCCTCCGTACCCAGGAATACGGTGATAATCATTCCAGTGGCGGCCACGAGTCTTCCCACTCTTAGTGTGGTGCCGCTAATCCCCAACTGGGTAAGACCGAGCCCACCGAGGTACCACTCCGTACTCTGTTTGTACCTCCCATACCAAATTCGGGTGAATTTCCTGCCCAAAAGTACAGCAGGCATGTACCCTCTGGGTAATTATGGGAATCGGTATGTTACCGGCTTCCCCCTGCTACCTGCCTAGTTCACTTGAGGCAGGGCTGTGATTAGCCCCGCGACCAGCTCTAATTGTCGCATAAATTGTGGTGGATTAGTGTCCATTTCCCAGCATGACAATACATACTGCGTGTGGTATCTGACTGTCATACCCGCTGCGACTCATGACTGACTGACTGACTGACTTATTGGTTAGCTGGAGGAAGTACTCCGTAGTTAGTAGTGTTTACTATGAGGTACGTGGTCCATCAGTCACGGCGCTCTTCAGCAAGTTAGTTTGTCTCTCAATACGATCTATTCACCGTGGGCAGTAAGGTCAGAAGGCAAGTCAGTTGTTGGCTTACTAGTAAGTGTTCAGTTAGTTAGTAGGTGGTGGTATAGAGTATGTAAGTGGTACGGATATCAACCGCAGCAAAAGAGTGGTTCCTTTTTGCGACTTTTCATGATAAATTCCCCATTATTACCTACTCGGGAGTATTCCTATTACATACCAGATCTGCTGCTGCTGCTGCGCTGCTGCTTAACTTGCTTTGCTGCTGCTGCTGCTGCTGCTGCTCTTTTTGCTTGCGAAACTGACCACGATAATTTATTATTATTATTATTTATTATTTCTTTCAAGGATTATTATTGCGACGAACTATTCCTACTTACAGCGACTTCCTCGACGTTCTCAATCTCCTCGTCGCGTTCATACCTCTCTCTCTTTTTACTCATCTTGCTGGCCGTTCAATTTTTTTTAAGCTACTGGCTTTGCTCCTCTTTCTCCTCTCCTCTCTTCTCCTGTCCTGTCCTGTCCTGTCCATCCGGGTCTTTCGTTCTCCTCCTCCCTTTCCTCAAACCTCTCCTCTCCACTTCCCTCCCTCCCCGACTCTTCACTGGGTTCTTCTTAACTAAGATTTTAACCACTCCCCCCCTTTTTTGCCTCTCCCTCTTTAATTAATCTTGCGTGACTGAGAGGAAGTGTGATTGTGACACACCCAGACCTTTGTCGCTCATCCATCAATCACCAGCAGCGTTATTATTCCTTCCCACTTCGCAGCACTACTGCACTAAACACCACCGAACCCAACCCAAATCAGCACCAAAAACCCACCTCCCTCTTCCCCCCGTGTCCAAGTTTTTAGTCCGCCCGTTTTCGGACTGCCCAACGAACTTTCCTCAAACCCGGGTTCGACACCTTGGATTAATCCCTAATCCCTAATCCCTATAGACTGCCTTGCCCCAAAAAAGGAACAAAGGCGAATATAGCTGGCAATCACTTCAGGTACATCCTTGAATTGCTTTGTCCTGAAAGTGGTGGTTGTCTTTTCCCCTCCACCTCCCTCCCTCGTCGCCCCCCCCCCGAATTCCAGTTCGCTTAACCCGGACCACGGCTTGTCGCTCTGGTCCTCTCCTCCTCCCTCCCCCTCAAAGTCGCTCTCCCCTTTGACCGACTTTATTTCTCTCCATCTGTGCCTATCTTTCATCTTGATCTGATCTGATCTTCCTCTCGGGATCTCTTCCTTCCTGGCAGCCGGAACCTGTTTGCTTCTTGCCTGCTGTTTTCGTTGTCCCTGTTTTACTTTTTCCGGCCCGAGAATCCTCGACGAACAGCCGCCCTGGGAAACAAACCCACCTCTCGCTCTTACGCCAGCTACCTCCAGCGACAACGCAGATCTTCCCATCTGAAGTCATCGCTAGAGGTAGTCACAGCCCAGCTGTGAAGAAGACATTCAATTGCTGTGTTTGAACGTTGCTTGCGGGAGTAGTTCTATTCCGTTACCCCTCGACCGTGGAAAGCCTGCCTCAGCGACCGCCCCGAGACTTTTTCTTATTCGCTTCCAAGCCACCGTCAACCACAGAAACTCTTAAATTCAACCACCGGCGCCACTACCAGACTCTGAAAAAACCATGGCGTCAACATCAGATGTGCACGGTTCTTCTCCTGTGCCAACCCTGCCCCAGCCCAACGACAACGGTCGTTCGCACATGTCCTCCCTCTCATCATCCTCATCCATCTCCGACGCCGAAACCGAACGTAGAGGTCGTTCAGAGAGACCTCGCATGGCCAGTCGGAAACCGAGTGCCTCAATACTAGTTCCACGGGATCATCCTGAAATCGAAATCGAGGAAGAAGAATTCCCCCCTGACGACGCACGCGCCATGAGTCCTCGACGCAACTCGGCTGATTTGGAGCGACTGGGCAAGGAAGCCAGGCAAACACTACAAGAGTGAGTAGTTGAATGACAAAATTTCCCCGAAACCTCTGGCCAAGTGACGCCAGAGACCAAAAAAAGAGGGAAGAAGCGATGCTAATGTGTTACGTGTTCACGGCAGACAAGCCAAGGCTCTCCAGTCGTCCCTTCAGGCGCTCGCCGAACGTATCGAAGCCGTTAAATCCGACCATGATAAACTCGAAAGCGAGAACCGGTTCCTTCAAGATTACATCGGTGGATTAACCCGCAACATGACCAAGAGCGAAATGACAAGGAGTAGCACCAAGGTCAAAAAGTCGCAGAAATAGCTCCGACGCCGTATCATCATCCCGGCTATTCGATACAGATAAGCGGTCGGGAATTCGCTATCCTGGAGAAAGCGAACGATAAGATCAAATCTACGAAACCTCAACCTTCTATGCGATGACCTTCACACGTCTCTCCATTCACCACATGAAGTTTCGGATTTGGTGGATGCCACACTTATTTCGCTACATACTGCAGGTGTCTCACATATGTTGGAATGGGGACGCTCTTGGCTGCCGCGCATACTTGAGCAGCAATACGACACGATTTATGCACGCGAAGATCCGCTTGGACTTACTGCTCTGTGTCTGGGATTCCGAAATGACATCTGCGGCTTCATCAGGTGGAACCTTGTGCAACGCTGAAGCCCCGAGGTGTGAACTTTCGCAAATTGATCCCTTCCTTCGATTCGTTTTTTCCCTCGCTACCGGACGGACTTGATCCTGCAACTGGGACCTGGCGGTTGATCACAATGAACAACGCCCTACCTTCACCCCCAAGTCGCTACACGTAATCTGCTGACGACCCTCGAGTTCTCTTCACCTATGGCCACCCACGTCAAAGCGCTCCGCGTGTGGTTGTGGATTCGCAGAGGGCTGCGGTCGTGACATCATCCACACATGCCGGGGGTTACCAGGGAATTTGATCGACGCCTACCGTCTTGGCAGCGATTCGGTGCACGACTCAGACATACTCTTTTTGTGCTCTGGTCTTACCTTTCTTCTGTTCATATTCTGTTTTTTACCTTTTTCTCTTTTCTTTTCCCTTTATTCTTCCTTTCCTATCTGTCATATCATACCGGAGGCTTTGTGTATTGGCATAGCACGCGCGGCGTTGGGACACTTGACTGGGAACCGTTATTTAGACTTGTTGTGTTCATTTCATCACTTTCTGACATTTGGAACCGCACTGGGCGAATTTGTTTGCAAAGGTCTGCAAAAAGGCGGGAAAGCATTTTCACGGAGCAGCCAATCTTCATGTGGTTTACATCATCCTCATCCTCTCCCCATCCTTGTTTCATCGCCGCCTCTCCTCAACCTCCAATCTCATCCCTCCCCTGTCCTCCTTCCATCCTATCCCCACCGCCTCCTTGTCCATCGACATGTATATTGGAATCGTCCCGGACTGACGATTCAGATTCGACTTGGTTTGATTTTCGTTTGGCTCTGAAGACATTTGCTTACATACCCAGAAGCGAGCGGTTGATACATTAAATGAGAAACAAAATTGTGAAATCCGGTCTGTAGAATGCAAGTGTAGACTGATGTGCATCCATCTGTGACGACGAAAAGTAGTTTGTCACAATGTATGGAATACGGAGCATGTGGTTTCAACTAGTCTCCATTCCCGCTATGTGATCACACCGCATTTTTGCTCCCTTGACAGTTGACAGCTCGACACGTCAAGGGAGGATCCCTACTAAATCCACCCACACGGAGTCCTTCATCAAACCAGAACCCAGAAATTGACAAGACCCCGTTTCATACCTGTCAACTGGCACTCTTCATCAATACCGCCATCACATATACCGAATTAGTCAATCATCGTACGTTTTGTCTCTTCTTCTTATTCTCAACACGGCCCTATTCAAGTTGGACGATCCCTTATTCCAGTTGTCTAGTCTCATAAAGTACGGAGTCCGGAGTACTTCGGCGTATGCTAGATCGGTGGGGTATCAGATAATTTTTCCTAACGTACTTTTTAGACTTCTTTTTTTTTTTTTTTTATTGTTGTTTTTTTCTTCCCTGTTGATCTTTCTTAAAGCGCTCGGTTATTAGGGACTAATTAAGTGGGATTGTAGTCTTGTGTGGCTCGGTGACTTTTTAAATAGTATTGACGATTGTGTGTGATGCTAAGCAATGTTTAGAATGGAAAGGGAAGTACTTCTCTACTATTCTAATAAGATGAAATGTATTGAACCTCACTAATGAATAAACTAGAAAATACAATTCAAGTGATTATTTAGTAGATGGATGGATACTTAGAGAAAAACTTGTTTCAAATCAGAAGGATGATTGATGCAACTAAGTATCTCGCTTTGCTCTCGTCATACTAACTAGTTATAAGTATAATCAGGTAATTAAAGGCATGGATTATGGATAAAAATCATCTGTAAATATAAAGTAATAATATCAAGACTAATTATCATCTTACTAGCCCTATTCATTTAATCTATAGAAAATCCCTGAAGTAGATCAAAGCACACTCTATCCTTACTCCATCTCAAGTGTATGTTGTTACTGATTGATTCTCTTCTGGTATCATCACTCCTCTCCTCCTCCTTCCTACGAGCCATAACTCACAACTTTATCCATGATTAAGTTCAATTCAGTCACACTACTCTAAATAATAGTATAGTATGAATCAGTAACAATCGCAACCATCATAGTCCCCATTACCTTACCTTACCTACCTACCTGCTTAGCACCCCTAACTCCACCACCACCCAAGGTAAAACAAACCCTCAATCGTATGATCAACTAACCGAATTATTACTCCATACTTAAAACTCTACGAAGTGCATACATAAGCAAAACCTATTTTCTACTTAGATCAAGTAGTACTAAGTTCTTACATGTCATAATATCACCAAAAAAAGAAAATAAAATAAAATGGAACTAAAAATTGTGATCTATAGATAGCTCTAACCTTACCAACTAGTCTACTACGGAGTAGCCTCATCGAAGTCAAACAAAGGGGGAAAGGGAAGGAAGGAAGGAGAAACTCTACAATGCTGCGTGCGTACTGCATTGTACTTTTGGTCGAGGGATAAAAGTGGTTGGTTGGATGGTATGGCATGCATGTATGCATGTGCGTTGTATGCAATAAAGATCGAAATCCCGAGTATTACAGAAATACAGACTCCCGGAAGGGGAATCCGGAGTATCTGCGAGGGATGGATAGATGAATGCATGCATGCATGTCGGTTATTCATAGAATGGGTTCAGTCGGGGTTTGGTTCGTTGTTTGGTTTGTACTTCGTACTTCGTTCTCTTCCTGTATCAAGATTGGGTAGACTGACGTTCTGTGGGAAATTCCTACGAAACTGTCCACTGCTTGTTCATAAATTTCAAATTTCTTTAGCCACTGCCGGGCTTTAGATCTAAACTCAGCTAAGGCGACAAACAAACGCCGTACGTGGCACAAGGTGGGTAAAACCAAGAGAGTTCGGGAAGCAAGAGTCAACGTCCTGGTGGGACTTGACTGACTAGGGTGGAAGTGCGGGTGGATGACAAGGGAAAGGTATTCTTTGGGGGAAATTGCGACAATAGGCAAAAATCGAAATCATCAAGATATGAAAGGAAGCCCCGCGACAATCGGAGGACGTAAGAGACCAGACCGAGACCACTGGCGGCATCGAACGAGGCCACCAAAAGGCCAACAGGGACAAAGAGGGCGACGAGAGATCCAAAGCATGACTTCAAAGTTCAAGACCTGTCGGCCAGTGAATGGCCAACCAAGCCCCATCCCTTCCGGGCTCGCCAGAGAGAACGAACCCCAAAGCGCGCAATGGTCTCATCATCCTCTTCCTACCCCGGGCCTTCTGAGTCTAAGATCCAGATTGTCGGCCGGCCGACCCTATCCAAGTCCGGACGCGAGTCCTTCGTCATCTTTATTTGATTTACTCGGCGGGCTTCTCGCCCTCAGCGGGGGCCTCCTCCTTCTTCTCGGCAGGAGCGCTCGCCTCGGCGGCGGGCTCGGCCTCGGACGAGGTCCACAGAGTCTACCGGCTGTTAGCATGATCCAAAACCACGAGTGCCACCACAGCAACTTACCAGGTTGTCTCTGAGGAGCTGCATGATCAGGGTGGAGTCCTTGTAGCTCTCCTCGCTCAGGGTGTCGAGCTCTGCAATGTCCGTTAGCCTCCAGCTTGACAGTCCAACACTAGCTTCCACACATACCAGCAATAGCATCGTCGAAAGCGAGCTTGGCCAGGTGGCAAGCCTGGTCGGGGGAGTTGAGGATCTCGTAGTAGAAGACGGAGAAGTTCAGGGCGAGACCGAGACGGATGGGGTGGGTGGGAGCAAGGTCGGTCTGGGCAACCTCAGTGGCGGCCTTGTAGGCCTCAAGGGAAGCATCGGCGGCACCCTTGCGACGGTCGCCGACGGCGAACTCGGCAAGGTAACGGTGGTAGTCACCCTTCCTATTAGACGGGGAGAAACACGTCAGTCATGGATCGCGATCGCATCGAGAGTGGGAACCGCGTGGGTCGCAACGCACATCTTGTGGTAGAAGACCTTGGACTCGCCGCTCTGGGCCGAGGGGATCAGGTGCTTGTCGAGAACCTCGAGGATATCATCGCAGATCTTGGCCAGCTCAGCCTCGATCTTCTGACGGTACTCCTTGATGAGGGAGACCTGGGACTCGTTGCCCTTGGACTCTTCTTTTTGTTCGATGGAAGTGACGATTCTCCAGGACGCACGACGGGCACCGATGACGTTCTTGTAGGCGACAGACAGGAGATTCCGCTCCTCGACGGTGAGCTCTACATCAGCGGAGGCAACGACCTTCATGTTCTCGACCATTTCTGTGTGACAGGAGGGGCCATGTTAGCATGAGGCGAGACTCGTAGCCGCGAAGTAGGCGGTCGGAAAGAAGGAGAATGACGCACCTTCGTAGCGCTCAGCCTGCTCGGCGAGCTTGGCGAGGTAGACAGCATCTTCGTGACCCATTGTGAAAGATTATCTGAACGAGAGAAGAGATGTTAGTTGGGCAAGATCGCGAATAAATAGATTTCCGGATATAGAGTGCGGGCGACTGGGAAAAAGACGCCACAGTAGACCAGAATCGATAGTGCAGAGAAGCGAGGGGCAGGCAAGTCACAGGGCAAAAGTGAGGCTGTGAAGTCAAGTGGTGCAAGGAACACGGAAGCGATAACGCCTCCCCTCCTTTCCCTGATTTACCGGGAAATCCCCGTCATACGTATCAGGTCTCCCAGCATCATGAGGGCGGTTGAAGAAAGAAGAAAATATACATCGTCTTTCCCAGCCATCATGACCCCTAATCATCTTGCAAATTCCCCCAAGACCAGGATGCATTGCGACGATCGGGGGGAAGGCTTGGTAATAGCGGGTGGTGATTCAGCCGGATCCTCCACTCAGCTAGCCGTGAACTGCCTGCCTGCGTTGCGTCCCAGAGCGCAGTCTAGACGGGCGGTTATGGAGGGGGGGAAGGGAACGAGGAGGATCCCTCCTCACACCTTCTCAATCTCTCCAGCCAGACTCGACCATTCAGCGCGCGTAGCCATGTCCGGGATAAAGTCCTGGACATGCAGAGCCTCCAGCCGCCAACACCCCGCCAATTTGCGATCGGGATCGCGGCCAGAAAAGGAGGGGAAAGCGGCGGATGACGAGGAAGGAGGGGATGGGCATTGGGTTTGTCTGGTACGCGGAAGAGAGGGGGGGAAAGGACACGGCAAGGAAAATGGAGAGACAGAGAGGCATACCTGAGATAGAGCAACAGATAGGAAAAGAGGTATTCTATAGTCTGACAAGGTAAAAAAGAGAGAGAGGTTAGAAGGGAATTGAAGGAAAGGAGAGTTGAATGGAGGAACAAAATTGGGGGTGGAAAGATTTGGGCTGGTCGAGTCCTGGTCTTTTTGTTTTCCTTTTTTAATTTAAGGAATGGGGGGGTGGGAGTATGACTTAAGCAGGGGGAGGGGGGAAGGGAAGTGTGGATGTGGATGTGGTGGATGTGGATGGAAAGGGAAAAGGGTAAAGTACGGACCAAGAGAGAGAAAGGACGAAAGATGAGTTAGTCAGAAGTGACCGAGGAAGAGATGGTGTGGCAGTAAAGTAGTAGGAGAGAAAGAGAAAGAGAGAGAGAGAGAGGATGGGAGAGAGAAAGTTGCAGGATTGGCAGTAGTTAGAGGGAAGTTAGTTAGGCGGGAAAGAGGGGAAGAGAGAAAGAGAAGGAGGAGAAGGAAGAGAAGGGGAGGGAGGAGGGGAGACACTGACAAGAGGGAAATTGGGAATTGGGAATTGGGAATTGATGGCCTGCCCGGAAGGGGGTGGGATTCGTCCAGAAAGGAGACTGACTGACAGACGGAGTTGGCGGTCACTGGCCAGGAATCCTCAAGGCAAGCAGCATCATCATCTCTAGTAAGTAGTAGACTACTTCTCTCCCTCTCTCCCTGACTCTCTCTCTCTCTCTCTCCCTAAACAATAATCATACTATGAATGCTTCTAGGTTGTGCCTCCCCATACTTTCTCACTACTAATTCAACTTTTCCCCCTCCTTAAGGTCAGTTAACCCATATGGCCAGCCCACGATGGAGTCGGGCTTCCACAAACACTCACCAACCAACATCATCTTTCCCCGATCCCGGGCCCGACTATTCTACGACTGACGATTATTGCTACTAATAATACCAAGAAATCACAGGAATTATTGACCCTCTCCAGTGGGTTTCCTCCTCTGTGACGGGGGGGTGGAGGAAGGAGACAGCTTTCACGGGGTAGAGACGCAGAGAATCCGAAAGAATCCCGGCGGTCATTCTTCTGGCCTGCCTTGTCTGTGAGCTACGTACACTGACTGCGCCTATCCCAGAAACTTGCACATCATGGCTGTCTTCTATGATGCCACCCCATCCAATTGACATACCTTGAGAACGTAGATAGGAAAAGAAGAAGACCCTTGTTACATACAGTGGTATCACTAGTTGATCGTTAACTTAGTAGCCCATCCTAAACCTTTCCTACTCATCTATCCAACCCAGGAATAAGATTGGTCTCCTGAATTCCTGAGTCTTGACGCCCATCTCTTTCTCTCTGCGCCTCCCTCCCTCTCACTCACTCACTCTCACTGTTCCCTCCTCATCCTGTCGGGTCTGGCTTAGTTTGTGTGGTTCGGTGGGCCCTTTCAGCGTCATCCCTATTTCACATCCGCCAATCGTCCCGCCCACCACTGAGATCCCAGACCGTCGCCGAACCAGATGGATTGGCAGCGGATCATCATTGGAAGGGGGTTTGATAAGTCGCTAACCGTCGGATGACGCTCGGGACCAATCTATCTATATTCTCTATCTACTTCTAGTAGTCTAATTAGTGATTATTGATTGATGAATTGATTGAACTGGGTCAAGGGATTCCTTCTGGAACTTCGGGGAATATTACTGTGGAATGATGGCGCAGAACTATTAATTAGGAGGCGATCCTATAATCCGCATCATCGTCATTCAGGGATTTGCAACTGAGATGCTTTCTTTGCTAACGTCCTTTGACACTGACGAGATACTCTGCAGAGTAGAAATGAAATCAACACACAACTTCTAGTACTTGACAGCCAATAGCGGAGTAGGGAATAATATATCAGGGATGGTTCAACATTAATGCGTAGTCACAAAGTAAACTTCCAAGTTCCATCTCAACATCCCCAACACCGCCCCCATAAATCATACCAAATTAGGCTACCATCCCATCCCGTCACTTGACACTCACCTGACCAGACCACCCGCTGACTCACCTCACCCTTCTGCATACATCACATGATCCCCTCCATGATCCCACCCCGGCAACCAACATCGACGTCATCCGTGCCGGTCTCGACACCTTAGGTAATCCCAGCCTGCCAACCCGGTTGCATTAATGACTTACTTCCACTTAAGTACCTGACAGTCTTACCTATCACCTCCTCATTGAAACCTTCCATCCATCCAAACGAATTCTGACAACCACCTGACCTTTCATCCATAACCTACCTACCTTATTATCCATCCATCTTTCACCTCCCCCCAAAAAGCAAAACTATAACCATAACCATAACCATGCTCCGCCAATCCATCACCAAGTCCTCTACTACCCGCCTCCTCACCACCACCACTACTCGTTCCTTCTCTGCTCTCGCTCCCAGAATGGGTGCTGGCGATACCGGTGCTCCCCGGCCGGGCGGTTCTCAGCATGCGTACGTTTCATACTTTCTACATACTTCCATCAATACCTACTGTTCTATGCAGTAGAGGAAGCATATGACATCATCATCATCATCATCATCACCAGTGGCTAACGCTAGTTGATTGAAACAGTGACTCGTTCACCAAGCGCGAAGCCGCCCAGGAGAACTTGTATGTTCGCGAGAAGGAGATGGAGAAGTGCGTATACCTATCTATCCTATCCCAACCTGTTCTTTGTTTGCTGTAAGAAAAGGAAAGAAGCTAATATGGTCTGTGATTTGGTATAGGCTCCGTGCCCTGAAGGCCAAGCTCAGCGAGCAGCGCAAGCACCTTGATGAGCTGGATAAGCACATGTATGTTGACGTGCTACCCTTCTTCCAGATATAATGCTGTGCTTGAGTAGATGGCTAACAATTATATGAATAGTGACGAGTTCACCAAGAACCAGGGCGGCGAGCAGAACTAGATAACTCATCTCTTTCTCTTTCTCTACTTGTGTTTCCTATCATATGGATGATGTGATGATTCCTACATACCTACCTACACCTGCCTATTAACTCTACTCTACTATCTTCGGAATACCGAGCGAAATCGAATCGATCAACCAGACAGATCAGATCCTTCTATATATCTATCTCCATGGGTGCATATCTTTGTGTCTACCTACATACCTACCTACGCAAACATGTAATCTCCTCTCTACACTCTACAATACTTTACATAGCATAGCCGGAATATCCACAACCAGACACACATTCATGGCGATTATCATTATTCCCGTTTCATCTCATTTCATTTGTATTGATTGCATTGCATTGCAAGACTCCAGCAACAGCAACAGCAGCATGAAACAACAACGACAACAGTAAAAAGAATAAGACGTAGAAAAAAAAAGACTTAACAACCAATCCTTGTTAATAAGAAAAACCATCCCGTAACCGTTGTTTACAGAAAACCAATCCACACTCCCTGCATCTCCTCTAGCGACGTCCCATGTAAGAGCGATAGAAATCATCTGCGGCACTACCGCCCACACTAGAGCTACCCAGACCATACCCGAACCGCGAAGAGAGGGACTGGCCGGCCTTCTGTGCGGCGTCGACCTTGGCCTGGAGCTCCGTGGTGCCTTGGTCGATGACCTGCAGTTGCGCGAGGTGGGAGTTGAGGATGCGGACGATTTGCGAGATCTATTCATGGTATACATTAGCATAAGCTTTAAGGATCTTGGGGAGAAGGGGATACGTACCGGCTCGTCAGCCTTGTTCGTCTTGCTGAGAGTCGAGGACGCGCCGTTGACTTCCTCAATCATGCTTGTCAGATCCTTGCCCATTTCGTCCAGGCGCTCGGAGAGCTTCTCGGCCATTTTGTATCTGTTTTAGTAATCCTGTTAGCATACCGAGAGATCAAAGGATAATTGTTGGATGGGAATAACATACGTCCGTTCACGCTCCTGGTCAGGTCCCTGCAGAGTTTCACCCGGTCCGACTTGCTTGGAAATCATCTCGTCCACTTCACGCTCGTACCGGTCGAGCCAGGAGCTGAGCTCTTCCTGCTGGCCCTCGACAGACGCCAGCTGACGCTCGACTTCTTGAGTCGCGCGCTCAGCATCCACCGTGCTGCCGTACAGTTTCTGCACCTTGGTGCCGTTCTCAACCAGCATCCGATCCCATTCTGCTACCTTCTCGGCTTGCTCGCGGAAGTCCTTCTGGTACTTGGTCAGATCAGTCGCCCACCGGGTGATGATCTCATCCATGGTCTTGTTCTTCAGGCGGGACTGCGCCGGAGGAGTCGGTCCAGCAGTCGAGGCACCAAGGCCAATTCCGCCAGTGGCGGTGGTTGTGCCTGTTGCGCCTGCTGTACCGGTGGTAGCTGAAGAGGTGGCGCCAGAGGTAGCGGTCAGGGTGGGCTTGTCGCCAGCCGTCGTAGCAGAGGCTCCAGCAGCAGTGCTGGCTGGCTGTGTGGACGGGGTGGTCTCCGCGGGCTTACCGAACAGGCCGCCGGTGGCTGCCGCAGGTTGTGTCGCGGGAGCTGCGGTAGCTGTAGTGGCGGGAGCGGTGGTTGCTGTGGACTTAGCGCCACCGAGGGCACCGCCAAACAAGCCTCCAGAGGGAGCGGGTGTTGATGATGGAGTCGCGGACGAGGACGCTCCACCTAGGGCTGGGAAAAGAGAGGAAGTCTGTGGCGCAGCGGACGAGGCAGCTGGCGTCGTAGAGGTTTGAGGGGTCGAGGACGGAGTGCCCAGAGAGGGGAAGACTGGCTTGGTGGCATCAGCTCCAGATGCTGGGGCTTTGAAGAGAGAAGATGTCTGCGCACCAGCTCCTCCTCCTGTGGCCGGGGTTGTCGTCGTTGACGGTGCCCCCGGTGCCTTTCCAAAGAGGGTGTTTGGAGTGCTGTCATTGGTGCTTGGTGCGGCCGGTTTGGCGTTTCCGAACAGGCTATTTCCCGTAGAAGGCGCCGGATTGGTACCAAAGAGAGGTTTCTGCGCTGTGTTCGCCCCACCGAAGAGACCCCCAGTTGATGGCTGTTGCGTAGTGTTGGAGGTAGAGGTTGTGGTGTTTGTGTTGGCGTTTCCGAACAGCGACGGGGTAGTGGTGGCGGGGGCTGTAGCGGTAGTAGACGACGGGGCAGCCGATGAGGTGGTCGAGGTAGTCGAGGTGGTCGAGTTCACGTTTCCGAAGAGACCGCCAGGCTTTTGTGCTGCCTGTCCAAAGAGCGTCTGCGTCTGGCCAGTCGCGCCCTGCGGAGGAGGACCGGCGGGCGTTGTGGACGAGGCATTGCCGAACAAAGAACCTCCTGTTTGACCGGGCGTAGAAGTAGCGTTGCCAAAGAGGCCCCCTGCAGGCTTTGCGGCATTGCCAAAGAGTCCGCTCGTAGCTGTTTGCCCTGAGCTACCAGCTTCGGTCGACTTGTTGGGAGTCTGTGATGCGTTGCCGAACAACGGTGTCTGACTGGTGGCCCCCGGCTTGCTCTGAGCTCCGAAACTGAAAGGCGACGAAGTACCAGTACCCGCTCCAGTTCCACTGCCAGCTGCGCCCCCGAACAAAGAAGGCGAAGAAGTGCCGCTCGTCGGAGCACCTACGTTTCCAAAGAGTGTGCCCGAGCCAGCGCTAGAGCCAGTGTTCGTGGCACCAGATCCAAAAAGACCCCCCTTGTTCGCGCCGCCAGGGGCCGAGTCGAAAGAAAAGAGGTTGGACATGGTGTTGGGTGGATAGCAACGGGGATTAACAGGGCTGCCCTGGAGGTGGGAAAAAAAGACAAAACAGTCAGTCGGGACGGGTTTCGAGATGAGCTGAAGGTGAGAGCGAACCAACACTTACTGCGCCCGGAGATAAGATGCCCTATGAAGACAGGAAAGTCAATTCGGGCTGAGTGTCAAAGTCGCGCCTTGCTCGTCCAAACACAGGCAGAGACAATCGACAGTGGATGTCTTGAACTATGAATTGGAGGTCGATTGATCTTCTTTGCTGGGCCGCGCTTGTCGCGGCTGGCGGCTAGCTTTATGCCTCAGGCATTACTGTACGTATCATGGCAGACTGCCTTGGTGCCTTGGTGCCTCGGATGATGTCGCCTGAGCCTCTTGGTGCCTCAGGCCACGTTCGAGACTCACATCGAACCCGACGATCAGAAGGACAGCATCGTCCCCCCGTTTCATATCCATTCTCCCCTGGCTTTTCGGGCTCAGACTCTTACACGAGCATCTGCGTCCTTGTCTGCATGATATACAATTCCCAATATTGATTGCTCCTGATGTCCGAACGGATTTCCCGTCCGTCCAGTCCCTACTTGGAGCCCCCGAGGAAGAGCGTCGAGTTGGAAGACCCGGGGGCTCAGGATTCCGGTAAGCAGCACAGTCTAGCACTGGGAATCCAATGTTTCGGAATTAACATCTCATCTACAGCTACGAACAGTGACGACGAACATTTTTCAGACGCCAGCGAGGGCCACCAACGCCCTGAATCCCACCCGCCGTCCGGCCGAGCTTCCCCTATCCCCTTAACCCGTGTGGAGAAGGTCGACGAGGAACCCTCGCATGGGGAGGTGCCTGGGACTGCTGCGTACGAAATAAGGGACCAGGATGCCGTTCCCGACCAGATTGAAGTTATCCCGGAGGGTTCACGCAGCCGAAGCGCTTCAGCGAGCGGCGAACGGCCTGTGACTCCGACATCAATTCCGCGGACAGTGGTTGAGAAAGTCGACTTAGACCAACCCAGTCATGGCGATATTCCCGGCACCCCAGCGTATGAGAAAAGAAAGGCAGATGCGGTACCCGATGTGGTGAAGAAGGCGTCGGATTCAGATACAGACGAACCGTCCCCTATACCGGGGTCCTTCGAGGCCAGTGCGGCCGAGACACCTGTTCCCGAAACGCTGCTCTCCCGCGTGGAATCCAACGAGGACGATGTCACAGAAGAAGGTCCTGTTGCTCATCAGCCAAAGCCGATTGATCCGGAGCCAGACCACACCGAGACCGTCCCCGATGCACCAGGTAAGCCGGATTTCGGTTGAATTACGACATAAGTTTCAGGGACGATTGACCAATTCAGATTCGCCTGCAAGCCATCGAAGTCACGCCCGCCGAGGATCGTCAGTAAACGACGCCGCAGCCGTTGACCCGGCCGGTGCAGACGAGTTTGACGATTTCGCCGAGGAGCAGGAAGACGACGACTTTGGAGACTTTGACGACTTCGACGATGGCTTCCAAGAGCCTATGGAGGCTGTCGAGGATGAACCAGCAGAAATACAGCCCCCGCAGCCTCCCACACCTCCTTCAGTTGTATGCACACCCTCAAATATCAGTATACAGCGTAAGAAATGCTAAACCGTTTCCAGCCACCCCTCCTCGACCTTGACGCCATTCCCTCCCTTGCAGACCTTCACACCACCCTCTCCGACCCCCTCGACCGCCTCTTCCCCAGCACCAAAGACACCGTCAGCCTGCAGCCCCTTGACCCGATCCCCAACCCCACCGCCATCTTCAGCACCGAGCGCTCCCTCTCCCTTTGGTCTCAGCTCGTAGCCCCTCCCCCACTCCAGCCCCAAAACTGGGTGAAATCCCGCATCCGGCGACTCTTCCTCGTCTCACTTGGCGTGCCCGTCGACCTCGACGAGATTCTCCCAGCCTCTAAGCAAAAGAAACTCATCCTCCCCTCTGTCAACCTCGACGACACACGTCGCTCCTCCACCCCACCAATCGCACACTCTCGCTCCCAAAGCCTAGCAGCCAAGCGCGACAGCACACAAAGCGGCCCCGGCAGCCCAGGCCCCAACCAACAATCTCGAACCCGAACTTCTCGCCGAAGAGAACCCTCCCCACCACCCGAATTGGATCTCCCGGCCGTACACCGCCTGTGCGCAACCACCGACGCAGCTCTAGACGGCCTAACGGACAAAGAACTCCGCGGACATGTCCAGGAACTCGAGTCGGCAACTTTACGCGCAAGCTCCGTACTAGAGTACTGGTTGAAACGATTGGACGGGCTCATCAGTGAAAAGGAGGCGTTTGAAGGCGTCATAGAAAATTTGGTAAGCCATGCTAGACGAGTCCGGAAGTGAGTGGGTGTTCTTCTTATATTATACATTCCTCTCATTTCTATGCTGGCTGGCATGATCTCGACTGTTATTGTGATGATTGTGCGATGTGATGTGATGTCTTGTGACGAGATGTTGATAGATCGATTATAAATATGACTATTAATTTAATGATTATACATATGCTACTTTCACTGTCTACCTTTCGGTACTACATATGCTACTAGTAGTATAGATCGTGTATTCATGTGTGGTTCGATAGCAGGTAGCAGTCAAGCCAGTGTTAGAGTATGTTGTTGATTCTACTGTCACGGTGGTGCTGCGAGCGGTGGAGTCGCTTTTCTAACACAATCATAAATACTACTAGTAGTACAATATATCTTTCTGTGATATTTCTTACTATCAGTGTAACTGGGGCATGGAGCAATGCAGGCCTTTAGATAAATATTCTCATACCACTGAGTCGATTAAGTTGGTAGAAGTTGATACTAGTACTTAGTACGGTACTACTGGTAAGCTATATATATGTACTACTCGGTCGTACCGGAAGGAGGTAAGACTCAACACCTCTAGACTAAAACCCTCATATCATCTACAATGTTTGTTACTACCTAAAAATTTGAACAAGGTCATTGATAACCAGCATCATTTCGAATTGCTTTTGAAGTAGTATGCACAGAAAGAACGTAAATCGAACAACAACACACCGGGTCCCCGCCTCTAGGTACAACGCCCCAGATCAAACCTCCCATGGTATGACAACTTGTTGAAAGAATCAGAAAAGCCAAGCACAGAAGCTTAGAAGACGAAGACCGGAAACTATCTAGGTACAATTCGTGCAAACGAAAAATGGGTATCTCATATAGGACTCAACGCCAGGAAATAGCGTTGTGGAGAAAGGAAAAACAACAGTGGTGCTAAAAGGCTAGGAGAATGGCCAAAGAACCATGAGAAGAAGAAGTAGGAAGAAAGAAACGATGCTGGTATCAATTTGGCAAGAAGCAATTTTGTTTTTGGTCCTCAGGGAGACAAGCATGCAGGCGCACGCTAATCCAACGCGATCACCTTTGGCTCGGAAACTCGGATGAGATTGTCGGATGTCGTGCGCTCGCATTTGGGCCTTTGCGACGCAGGAGATATAGACGCCACTGAATCACTGGATTTGCGCTTCGGGGGTACAGACGTAGGAGCGGTGGCACTCCCGGAGGTCTGTCCTGTGGATGAAACGGTGTCTGACTTCAATGTCCACGATCCATCCCTTTTGACGCGGATTGAGCGCGCATTCTCTAGCTGGTTCGTATGGGATAGCTCTTCGCGAATATTGCAGAGAAACCCATCAATCACTAGCATCTGAGGGCGCGCATCTTGTTTGCAAATAGGGCATTTCCAGTCTTCTCGGAGGGTACGTCGCCCCGACTTCAAAGCACGGGTGGTGATGTAGGTCTCATGATCGAAGCACTCCTGGTGGGTGCACAAGCGACCGCGAACAGGCCGGTTGAAGACACGAGCAGTGAAGGGGTCGACGAGATCAATGACCAAGTCCTCACTCACGATGCTGACTTCATCGTCGGGGTTGGATGTGAGCCGCTTTTGGATCTGCTGCAGAGACTCCGAGGCGGGAAGGATCTGCGCCGCGTCCAAGGCCGACACCAGGTCAGAGACATTGAGAATCTCGACGCCCGCGGCATATAGCTGATCTCTCATCTCGGCCGGGCTGCGAAGGAAGTGCATGGAGACGGTATTGGGACCCTCATGCAGTTGCTCCGTGATTTCGAGGGGTATATCTTTGCCGTTGTGTTGGCGACGCCGGGCGAAAAGCTCCACCTCGTTGACAAAGATGTAAACCACGCTGGGCCAGCATGTCTCGGTGGTGCACCAGGTGTGGTCGTCTATAGTCTTTGTTGACGGGTTGATTCGAATACATCGCAAACGAAAGATTTGCTGGCCGTTTGTAATGAACCGGGTCGTTTGCAATTTACCACCATGTTGCTCAATCTTCGCAAGTCGTTCGACGTCCGACTTGGTCAAACTGAACGTCCAGTCGAAGCGGCAGTCCCACTGGCCCTGACCCAGCGGGGTTGGCTGGGCGGCGAAGGACTCAAAGTATTGATAAAGCGGGGTCTCTTGCGGGCCGGCAGGAGTCTGAGTGATGAGTCGATTGACAGGACCACGCATATGGGCTTGATGCAACCCGTCCCGCAGCGAATGAGGTCGTGGGTTTGGCGGCGGAAGTGAACCTGGCGGAGGCAAAAGCGGAGTGATCATTGACGTGGGAGAAGGAAGAGGAGCCCCCTGGTTTGACATGCTTGCCTGTGGCATCAGCCTGTACTGCGTCGGGGTCTGGTTATTCGCCGGCGCGGACCGTGAGGGACGGCCACGTCGTCGTTGTACAGGGGCCGGACCTAAAGCCGAAGCTGGAGTAGCAGGCGAAGCGAGAGTAGGAGCGGAAGCAGGGGTATGCGAAAGAGGGGACAGACCAGGAGTAGCCGTTGTTGAGGGGACTACTCCTGTCGGTACGCTGGCGGGGTGTGGCGACGTTGTTTGTGAGGGAAGTAACAATGTCTGTGGGTGGACCGAGCCTTGCGGACGAGTATTTACCGGGCTTGGGTGAATAGTCTGCGTTTGCGAAGGCACCACCTGTGGTGGGTAACTCATCGGAGGAGGATTATGGTGGTGATATAACGGATGGTGATGAGGCATCTGAACCGTACGCGGAGAATGCGGGTTGTATGTCTGCGAGGGATATGCAATTGGGGCAGGAACAGGTCCGGTTCCGGGAATCGAGACGTGAGAGCTCACCCTCGGCTCATATCCGGGCACACTTGATGCTGGATGCTGAGGGAAGTGAGGGGGTGCGCCTTGGGGGGACCCCACCGGTTGCGAGTGAATGTGAGGCTGGTTTGCAGTGGTCGCCCGGGGCGTGGATGTGAGTTCTTTGTGATACATGGAGAGAATGATGTCCCTCTCCTTTTTGGCGCGCATTGCCGACACTGGCTTGGGAGAGTCCAAACGCTCATCTGTGTATTTGGCGTCTCGATTGAAGATCTCAAAGAGCTTGTGCTCCCCATTCTGCAGAGGAAGTCGTCGATACAGTGCCAGGAAGATGTTGTATTGCGTGACATGTGATCGGATGTCGAAAGTCATGATGATTTCCTCGATCAGTGGGGGTAGGCCACGCCTGCGCGTGGCTTGCTCAAAGCTGTCCCACCTTTGAGAGAGGAGGACCAAGGAGTTCATGACCTGCTCTAAAGCATCCCGCCACCAAGGAAGAGCAAGCAGCTGTTGCATTGGTTCCGGGAAATTCACACAGAACAGCAGGAAATCTCCGGAGAGCCGACGGTTATCCACCAGGAGCTGCTTGACTACGGCAAACCCTCTCTCCTGCTCCGGACCGAAGCCTGGCAATGTGCGCAATTCCGAGGGAGCATAGGATGCCATGCAATACATCTGGTGCAGAGCCAGGTAGACGGGGTCATTGTCCAGTAGGGCGCTCTGCAGCAGGCGAACCCGCGGAGACTCAATGACCTCGGAGATTATCTTGTTGCGAGTCGCTTCAGCCGCAAAAGTGTCCAGCTTCTCCAGCCACTGTTTGCACAGCGTCCGGTCTATTGGCAACATAGGGACCGGTCGTACAACAAGTGGTTGCTGAAATCCCTGAGGCACCGGCGATGCTGGTATGCCTATCCAGGAGGCCGCTTGAGGGTGCGCCGAAGGATCGCCAGGTCCCGGCAGTTGTGATCGTGGTTCGGCATTGCCAGCTGTTTGCGACTGATCTCTGGGAATTACGGTGGCCCCTTGAACTGGCTCCGGAAGGATGACGGTATTGGCTACTGTTGCAGGTGTCGGTAGTCCTCTGGTCTGTGGTTCATGTGGCCGATTAATAGACACTGGTGGGGTGTCTCGCGTTGGAGGGGAAGGCAGAGTTGCTAGGGAAGAACCAAGGCCAACCGGTCCTCCATGCCGATCAATGGCACTGACCGGGCTGGCATGCGAACGTGGAAGGGTGGGATCGGGTGACGGAAGCGCGGTGGGCTGAAAAGCGCGTGGGGGGATAGCAGTCGCTGGTGTCGGCGTCCCTGATGATAATGGAGTCGATGAGGAGAATGCGGTGGTGATACTGCGAAGCGGGGGTAGGATTGGGGCACCGCGATTTGGCTGAGCTTCCTTCTCATTCCTCCCATCTGACCCGGAATTGGCCTGAAGAGGATCAGGTTGAGCCATCGGACCGAGGGGAGGAAGAGGAGAAGGGTTCGCGGCGGCGGCGGAGGTAATGGTGGAGGAGGAGGGCGACGATGAGGCGGCGGTGGAGGTGGAGGTGGAGGTGGCCGTAGTAGTAGTGAGGCCGACGGGCGGCTCACGAGGAGGCGTTTCCCGCCGACGCGTCTGCGGTGGACTCCCAGCTGGGGCCCCCGAAGCAGCCGACGCTGCCGTAGAAGCCGTACCCTCCGTTGCAGCAGTCGCAGCAGCAGCAGCAGCAGCAGTATCGGTCGTAGAAGTAGGGGAAGGAGATGTCGAGGTGGTGGAAGAGAAATGGGGAGGTTGAGAAGCGGTGGCAGCTGCACCACCACGCATCCAGGATCGTTGCACGCCTCCTAGAAATAGATGGGCAGTTGAATTGCTTGACTTGAAGCCAAGATTTGCGGGATCGCCGCGGCGATTACCGGGCGGAATCATCCTGACATTTTCCGGGGGAAAAGGCAGGATGGAAAGGTAATTTGTGGGGTGGAGGTCTTGTTGAGAGAAGAAAAGCTAAAAAAGAATGGAAGTGTCCTGGCGCTGATAATGCAAACGAAGCGTATCGAAGAACCTCCTCTTCTCCGATGAGGCGCGCCAGCCAGCATCGACTCGAAAGGAATTCCACTTGAATTGGGAAGAGATGCCGCTGGGTCGGGGAGGGTAGGATGCCTCGGGGAGAGAAAGTATGCGGATGTACAGTTGAGATATAGATGATAGATGTATACAAACCAGTGAATAAGATAAAATTCTACCGTACTTACTGCAATGGCTGCATTGGACTTTAGTTGGGACAAAAGTACGGCAACATGATCTACCCGTGTACTTTGAGCTGCGTGGAGGGGTGAGGAGAAGAAATGCCTACTTATCTCAAGTCGAACTAGATTTACATATAACTATGCTGATGAGAAGTATACAGATTGATGGGCAGCGATGGGAAGCAACCGCGACACAAAGTACTGGGGACGAATGACAATCCCACAAGCAAGGTTATCCCAGTGCATGGTTGATGATGCGATGGGGGAAGATCCTGGAATCCAGCTTGGCTTACAGATGCAGGCATGAGCACGTATGAGCATGAATATGGGCATGAATGAATGGGTGAATGCCGAGGGCAAGAGGGACTGTGAGTGTGTGATTGAGCAAGGTTTTTGGGGATAGTAGGAGCGTGATCTGGTCTCTGGTTTTAGGGCAGCAGCAGCCATGCAGGCCAGCATGCCATCGAATCATGGATTGACGTATGGAACTGGAAGAGAAGAGTCATTCCTGATCCGAATCAAGTGGAGAGTGTATCGACTAGTCTATCGTACTAGTAGTAAAGGGAAGTCGTACAAAGATGTAGTAGAGAAATACATCAGACCCCGAGAAGATGGAATTCCTGCGATCGACCTGTCTGCCTGTTTGTTTATAAATAGGCAATGGACTGGCGCTGAATGCGATGCATCGACTCGTTGGCCATCCGGATGCGTGACTGATCCGAGCATTGGAATGTCGATCCTGCAGGGGAGGCCATGAGAACTAAAACATGTTCGCTCGGTGGGTAGTGTCTTGTCTTTTCTTTTTCTTAGTAACTAATTAATTAGTAAGTCAGTAGATGAATCAAGAAGGGGAGAGAGAGAGTGTGTGTGTGTGAGAGAGAGAGAAGGAGTGAGAGTGAGAGAGAATTGCTGCCCTTGGGACCCATCTTCTCCCAACTGCTCCATACTGTGTAGTATACAGTACGGATCACTACTAGTTAGTTGTTGGAGCAAGAAGTAAGAAGAGTACCTAGCAAAAACCCAAGACTCCATAGTGTAGACCATAGAAAGTAGGAGTAGCTGGCAAGTAGCCTGTCAATAAGGCGAAACTCAACCTGACCGGGCAATGGCCTCACTTTCTCTCCGGATGAAGGGGCTGCCAGTTGTCGGAATGAATCCGTTGGCTCCAGTCAAGACAGCGAACAAGTCAGCACATGCCACTCATAGTCTGTTTCATACTTCTTGGTCTGTGGTGAGTGCCAGTGAAAATGTTGTTGTGCCTGATGGGGATGGAAGAAGGATGATGCTGCTCATGAATTTGAAAAGCAGTAGTAGGTATAATAATGTTCTGGTTCTGGTTCTGGTTCTGCCCAAACCGGTAACGATTTGATATTTATTTGGTTGTCCGTATCCCCCGCTTCCATGGTTTGCTTTGCATCGAGACTTTTCTCTCTCTCTCCCTTTTCCCTTCAACTCATACTCTGCAACTCTTTTTTCCCCCTTCTCTTCTTACTTCATTTCATCTCTATCCTGTCTCTTTTCCTCTCTTTCTCCGTCTCTCAGACACATCAACAACCTTCCCAAAAACTGATCCACCTCAAAACTAGCCGCCCTTGTTAGCGCCTGCACGTCTGCGGCCGTGATCTGATTTGCTTTGCGGGTTGCAGTTCAGACCGGCGGGGATCGTCGCTGTCTTATTATCGGCTTCACCTGCTGCGGTTGTCCATCCTCGCCTACTTACTCTTCTGTGCTCTCGTCTCCCTTCCCTCGGACTTCTTCGTCGTCTTCTACACGTCAGACCGCGAATCGCCCTGCCAAAGCCTGCTTCGCGGCACTGCATCAACCCTCACCGAAGAAGCTCTGGCCATCTCCATTTAACCCTTCGACCCTCGTCGACGGAAGCTTTGTTCAACATAAACCTCCTCCTCCTACTATCCACCTATCCACCTCTATCCACCCACTAGTTATCTACTTCTCCTCCTTCCACTTCCATCGATTAGCTAAACCCGGACCCATCATCTGTTCTTCCCTCTTTACCTTCTCCATCTTCGCTTCGCCGCGAGCCAGATTCCTTTCCACCCTTACCCCGTCAATCTTTAACTTCGTCTAGTCACATTCCTCTCACCAACCTCCATTCTCTGAACTTGGATCGCCTCCCCTTCTTTTCCTTCCCCAAATCTGCTTTTTTAAATTACCCGGGAGGGCGGCTTGCCCCATGTCCGGCGCAATTCCTCCCCTCCCATCTGTGTTGTCGCTCTCTGGGTTGCTTCCCCCCACTTCGGCGCTTTAACCGGCCTCCCTTTCGTCATTCCCCCCTTCCGTCACATCCTCGCTTCCAATTTCTCGCGACTCTCGATACAGCCTGAGGATACACAATGGCTCTCACAACACCTCCTCGTGGGGTAACGCCTGGCGACCTTCTTCTCGTCGTTCGTAAGTAGCAATTTCTTGCTTCCTACCTCGGTCGCTGTGTGCGACCCCCGCCCTGTCTATCTTCAATTGGGTTGGTTTGCTAACCATTGTGTCAGATGATTTCGATGCGCGCGGCCCTGATGAGCTCACCCTGCGCCGCGGAGAGAAAATTGAGCTCGTGGAGCTGGATGATGGGTTTGGAGATGGGTGGTATCTAGGCAAGGATTTGAGTACGGGCTCAACTGGTCTTTTCCCAGGAGGTATGAAACTTGAGAGCGCTTATAATCTGCAAAGACCGCATTTGACTGACTGGGGACTTCCGTTTCTGCTCCAGTTTACACCACTACTGCCCCGAGGATTCCCACCAGACAGCGGCTAGATGCCGATGGCACGACCACATTGGCCTCAGAGGTCGGGACGGATTCCGAATCGAGCCAGTTGGAAACCACAGACTCCCTCTCATTTCCCCAGAGCGGCGAATCCACCCCGCATGTTTCTCGCCATACCAGTGCCTCGGACCTGCGGGCTCCAGAGTTGCAAGGGGGCCCCGTCGCCCCAGCTTTTTCTCCGAAACAGCAGAACCGCTCCAGTTCCTCTCCGCTACCAACCTCCACTATGAGCATCGATATTCAACAGTCAATTCGGCAGACCATGGACGGCCACCATGCCAATGGCCAAGACAGCCCGGTCATGAACGAGACGCTTAGCGTTATCGACGAGCACATCACCGACCTGAGCACGCCGCGCCATAGTGTGGCCGGTCAGGAATCCAAGCACATGAACGACTCGGCCAGCGAGTACAGCAGCCACTTCGAGCACCGGATGTCGTACATCAATGGGCACGAAACCGATGAGGAAGAAGAGAACCAGCCGCGTGAAGAGCAGGTCCGGCAGTGGACGCCTGCAGAAACCGCCAAGCAGTTGCGGCAATGGGGTGTCGAGGACAAGCACTGTGGCATCTTCGAGGATCAGGAGATCACCGGCGATGTGTTACTGGACATGAACCAGGACTTTATCTTCATGAAGGAGTTTGATTTTGGCGTCATGGGGAGGCGTTTGAAGACCTGGCACAAGATTCGAGCATTCCAGGACGAAATCAAGGGCGTCAACCCCTCGTCTCAACACCACCCTCGCGGTTCGGTAGCTGCTGTTCCCGCTCCGCCAGAGGAACGAACACTCAGTCGCGCCAGCCATACGGGCCCGCTCCTGCCCAGGATCCCGACGCTGCGAGGGTCGAGCGGCACCCAGCACCCCCGCCTGGTCAGCAGTAGTATGCAGAGCAACACCAGCTCGCCCATCACGCCGCAGACACCCAACTATGTGAACCATTCTCGCCGACCGTCCGCCGCTTCCATCCGCGAGATCAACCACTCCCGACGCCACTCATCCATCGACACGACGAACCGGTACTCGGGTGCCCTTGAAGGTTCGCCAGGCATCAACAAGCGCAGTTCGTTTGATCGCGGTTGGACTTTGGCCACCGGCGCTCAGCGGCTGCCTCCTCGCCCTGGAACTGCAGCCGGCACGTCTCACCCTCAGGACATGGGTTTCTTTTCCCAGCTGAGTCACCGCCCCTCAAACTCAAACGGGTCTGATCCAGCTGTCTCCGTGACCGACGAATTGGACCGGGGCTACTTCTCTGGGCCTGAGGGGGACATGCGCAAGAACCGGCGCCTACAGAAACGCCAATCTGCTGCAGGCAGTGCGGACTCGCGGTCATCGAACTTGACGAATGACCAGCTCCGCGTTGGTAAGCGCCATTCGCGCATTGGCAGCATGGACTCTATTCGGGAGTCTGTCAAGCAGATGAATCCTCCAGCCAAATCCCACACCAGTCCGGTGCCCAAGGGCCGCCTCCGTAGCCTGAGCACCCGCATCGTTGACCGCCGAGGACAGCAGTCAGCGCCCGCTTCCGCAGTAGAGGATCGGCCCAGCGGTGCGTTAGGCTTGTTCGGTCCTCTGTTTGGAAAGTCCGACAGTGATTCCTCGCGCTCGTCTGGTGTACCCTTGTCTCAACTCAAGGGTGCGGGACCGAAGTTCCGGCGTGCCATGGGAATCCGTGCTTCGTCTGACGTGGCGCCGAAGGGAATTGATACGTCGACGCCGCCGCCGGCCTCCCCCGTTCGGGACAATGATCCGTCGGCGCGGACCGGGTCGACCACCCCTTCAACATCCAAGAGCTCGGAGCGACACAGCACGGACGGATCAAATAAGACCGCCGAGGGCGGGCTGTGGCCTCGATCCCGGCCATCCGTCAAGGCGGGGGTCAAGTCCAAGAAAGACACCAGCGCGTATACCCGCGGGCTGGAAAAGAAATCGCCACAAGAGCAGATGGTGGGATGCGATTATTTCGGGTGGATGAAGAAGCGGTCTTCCAATCTAATGACGACGTGGAAACCCCGGCTGTTTGTCCTGCGGGGCCGGCGTCTGTCGTACTACTACTCGGAACAGGACACAGAGGAGCGTGGTTTGATTGATATTACAGCTCATCGAGTGTTGCGCGCAGACAATGACCCCATTGTGGCCCTCCATGCCACCATCACGGGCTCGACCGCATCGCCGACTCCGGCCAGTCAAATGAGCCAGGCGGATGGAGCTTCATCCGACAAGGCTGCAGCAGAGGCCCTCCGGGCAACCAAGGGAGCTGGTGAAGGACCGTTCTTCTTCAAGCTAGTGCCGCCAAAGTCAGGGACATCACGGACAGTTCAGTTTACCAAGCCGGCGATCCATTACTTCCAAGTGGACAACGTACAAGAGGGTCGACTCTGGATGGCGGCGTTGATGAAGGCGACGATTGAGCGGGACATGGCCCTGCCAGTGGAGACAACGAACAAACAACGTACGATCAGTCTCAAGGAGGCGCGGCTGATGAACCAGCGTCCTCCAGCACTGATGACCGGATCGCCTAATACAGGGGAGGTAGCTCCGTCAGAGGCAGAGACGGAGACACAGGACAGCTTTACGGATCTGGAGCAAGATCGCCAAGGGCTGCTAATCCAGGGGGTGACCATGGACCCGGAGACAGAGCCGGTATACGTGGACGCAGAGGAGCATCGATCGGCGAGTCCGGTCGCGATGGACGACGAGGTGTCAGTTCCTGGATTGCAGCGGAACTCGCAGTAATTAATGGAGGATTGATTGATTGATCGATTTGCTTATGTGTGATGTATTGCTTTTTACCGCAGCCAGGTTGGCGTTTTATGTGATATACCCCGCTTGAATGTTTTCATATGTGAACGAGTCTATCTATCTATGTGTCTGTCTGTCTGTCTGTCTACTATGTAGGATGTAATATTGATGTGAATGTTGGATGTGAATTCTTTATCAGTATAAGCTCTATTCAGTATAAGCGACGGGGATCGGCGGGCCGCGTCACTGATCACCGCCGTTTGCTCCTCGCTTTTTCTACTTCCTACAATCCACACGATAATGGCTTGATTGAGCGCGTTCAACCCCATTTACTCTCCTTGGTTTATTGTTATTCTATTCTTTCTTTTATTCCTATTCCGGTCACTCTTTTTATTCATCGATGCGGTTCTCCCCATGTCCCTCCTCCGCCTTCTCCTCCGCCAGGCGCTGGCCATTCTCCTCCCGCTGGCCCTGACCAGCACTGTCTATCTCTATCTCTACCCCGTCTTTCACGGCTGCGCATTCCCTCTGCCAGAGGAATCTATCTCCTCTCATCTCTCAATCCCACACTTCTCTCCATCTTTCCTCTTCACCCTCCGCCACCACCTCTCCTCCTCGCCTCCTCCATCTGCGACCTCGCCCATCTTCCGCCTCCTCGTTTTGGCCGACCCCCAACTAGAAGGCGACACCTCCCTCCCCAAACCTCACGATCAACTCCCCGCCAAACTCTCCAACTACTATGCCGACCTGTCCTCCACAATCCGCACGAAACCCCCATCCGCCACCCTCTACACCCTCCGCTCCGTCCTCCGCTCCCTCATCTCCACCGACCTCCCCCGCGCATTTCGCGCCGCGCGCAAACGCCTCGACCTGCTCGGAAATGACTACTACCTGGCGCATATCTACCGCACGATGCACTGGTGGAGTGCACCGTCGCACGTCACCGTGCTGGGCGATCTAGTAGGGAGCCAATGGGTGAGCGATGGGGAGTTTGAGGAACGGGGTCGGCGATACTGGAAACGAGTGTTCCGCGGTGGTGTGCGGGTGGATGATGAGATTACCGGGGAAATGGGGACGGAGGTGTTGGGAACTGATAACGGGGAGTGGGAAAGGAGGGTCGTGAACGTCGTGGGGAACCACGATGTCGGGTATGCAGGAGATGCGAGTCCATCGAGGATAGAGAGGTTCGAGAGGGTGTTTGGAAGGGGAGATTGGGATGTTAAATTCACTCTACCTCCAGGAGAAGATAAAGGGGGAGAAGAAACAGTTCCAACAATCCACCTCATCAATCTCAACAGTCTTGTCCTGGATACCCCCGCCCTGAGCCCTGAAGTCCAATCAGCCACATACGAATACCTAAACGGTCTATTGGACGAGCGAAGCCCATCTATTACTTCATCTCCGCGCGGGCAAACATTCACTCTCCTTCTAACCCACCTCCCCCTCCACAAGAAAGAAGGAATCTGCACCGACGCTCCCTTCTTCGCCTTCCACGATGACGATGACTCCAAGGGTGACGCCGCCGGCAACCCCCGCTTCTACGCCGGCGGTCTCAAAGAGCAGAACCACCTGAGCCAGTACGCCAGCGCTAATGCCGTGCTCGAGGGCATTTTTGGGATGAGTGGGGACGACACCGTCCCCGGAAACGGTTGGGGAAGGAAGGGCCTCATTCTTACAGGCCATGATCATACGGGCTGTGATGTGGTGCATTTCGTGAATCGCACTGTTTATGCTGCTGAGGCAGATGATGAAAAGAATGATGATGAAACGCGTGACTGGCAATGGGATGCCGTGCGCTATAAGACTCAGTATGGCACCACAAGAGAAGGGGACCTAGGCGTCCCCGCCATACGGGAGGTGACTATGCGCTCCATGATGGGAGAATACGGAGGCTATGCTGGGCTCCTATCGGTGTGGTTCACCGGCGCAGAGTGGAAGTATGAGATCCAGATGTGCGCAGCGGGCGTGCAGCATCTTTGGTGGGCGGTCCATGTAATTGATGTGATTACTTTCGGGTTGATGGTACTGTATATCGGATCGGGTATTATTGGAGCTGGTATCTCTGCTGGGAAGGATACCAAGGCGGAGAAGAAGATCAAAAAGCAATAACTTCATAGTATAGTCACAGCCAACTATATAGATCAACTGATCAATCAATCAATATTCATAACGACGTACATCTACAATTACATCATGAGACAAAAAAGAAGAAAGTGGACAGGTTTAAATTTTTTATGAATCCTTTTCATTTTTAGAATGTTCTTAGGTCATACTAAAAAAAAAAACCGGTACCACCCCCTTTGTTCTAGAAGCCCTTGGTATCGCTTTTTTTTTTTCTCTTCTTGCTCCAAATTCCAGGTTTAACACATTTTACATGACAACACCGGAGTTGGAGGCAATACGCTGGACACACAATTAGCATATGAATCTCCCCATTGATATATACCCGTTGAGGTATGCTAGGGAGAACTTACAGGCCAAAGCTCAGCAGCCTCCTTACCAACGGGACCAGTGATAGCGGAACCCTTCATCTCACCCTTGGCGTTGACGATCTATACCGATCATTAGTATTTCCATCATTATTGTCGCATATGACCCTCATCCACTTGATATAAAGAGTGGAATTGGAATTCGGGGACAAGGGTACGTACAACACCAGCGTTGTCCTCGAAGTAGAGGTAGATACCGTCGGGGCGTCTCCAGGGCTTGCTCTGACGGACAACAACAGCGGGCATGACCTTCTTACGGAGCTCAGGCTTTCCCTTCTTGACGGTGGCCATGACCATGTCACCGACACCGGCAGCGGGGAGACGGTTCAGGCGAGCACCGATACCCTTGACGGAGATGATGTACAGGTTGCGGGCACCGGAGTTGTCGCAGCAGTTGAGCACGGCGCCGCTGTAGGCAAAAAGATTAATTAGCTGTGTTCATCATTTTTTTCTTCATGTGTTCGTGTCGGTTGTAGGTTGTGAAATCATGGGTGTTGGGTGGGAAGATATCGAGGTGGCTTGTGTGTGGTGGGTGTATGTTTCGATTGAAGAATAATTGAGATCGATTTGATTTGATTTAATTGTATCGAATCGCATAATTCTCTCGAAGATGGGTGTATGGATTTGAACGGAAGAAATTTGGAGTTGACATACCAAGGCAGACCGAGGGTCATCTTGAGCTTGTTGCCGGAGGCACCACCGCGTCTGTTATAGATATTTTGTTAGCTTTAATTCCCTCGTATCCCATGTATATCAAATTCCCATCCACATAGATTTATCCATCTCTTTCCCGGACCTTCATTCAACCCTCCTCTTTCAATCTCGTATGTCGCATATCGAACTCAATCCAACCGTAATTTCGAGTCGAAATCTCCAGCCAGCGAATATTCCATTCCATCCCTTCTCATCTCATCTCTTTCCCGCAGCATTTCAATATCTCCGGTCCGGATTTCTTCCTCTCTTTCTCTGTCTCGCTTTCCCACACGTCTCCAACAACGAAAAGAAACAACTCACCCTCTCGCAGACATCTTGGCTGTGTATCTAGGGTTGTCGGATAAAAACTGGGCGACAAGGGAAGGGGGACGGACGGACGGTCGAAACGGGGGGTGTCGTCGGATTCAGAGACTTGGTCGCGGGTTTCGATTTGCTTCTCGCTTAGTGTGCGTCGTGGGTAAATCTTGGCAGTGCTTCCCCATTGGCTGGTTTATGCGGATAGAGGGTTGCCCTAGAACTAGCCCCGTTCCGGTTAGATTGGGTTAGTCAGGGATTAGTCAGGATGTCTAGACTATCTTTAATAAACATCTTAACTACTACTTCTTATCTGGAGTGACAGGTATAGCAATCTGCTTCATATGGAATACATTGATAAATACACTAGTTATTGAATCTGCTCTAAAGATAGGCAATAATGCTCTCAAATATGTAGTAACAATAGAAGAAGAAATCGATTCGTTTCCCAAACACCAGCCGCCCGTTCCTTTGCGCCATTCGTTCGTTGTTGTCTTGCTCGCTCAGCTTCACTCCTCTGTCTTGCTTGCTTCCTCGGTCTTTTCGGCTTCTGTTGCTCCTGCGGCTTCCGCGCTGGGTTCCTTTGATTTGGCTTCACCCGACTCGTCCTTGGCTGCCTCCGGGGTCTTGTCCTTGGTCTCGCTCGGCTCACTGGCCTCCGCAGGCTTGGTCTCCGCCTCTGCCGTGTCGGCTGCCTCAGTCGTCTCTTTCGCAGGTGACTCGTCCTTCGTCGCAGGCGTTTCTTCCGTAGCGGGCTTGTCAGCCGCAGGGGTCTCCTCGCTGGGCTTCTTCTTTTCCTCTTCCTCTTCCGCCGCGCCCTCGGGCGCAGCTTCAGATTTCTCGGTCTCCGGCGCGACCTCGCCCGCATCTACCATTGTAGTGTCTTCGTCCTGGGGCTTGGGAGACGGTTGCCGGGAGATCGGGGCCGATGCTGCCGTCGTTTCTGGTCCATCCACTGCCATCTCTGTTTGCTCTGCTGCGGAGGCCTCGTCTGCTCGGGACGGCGCATCGGCCGCAGAGGGGGTGGCTTGCGCCTCAGTCTCCGGCTCCGGAGCCTCGGTCATCTTCGCATCAGCAGTCGTATCCATGTCATCGTCGGGAAGAGAAGATGCGTCCTGTGGCGTCGCCATGCCGCTCTCGAGCCCCGAGTCGTTAACATCAAGATTCCGATAGTTGACCTGGTTTCTCCGCTTGAGCGCGTTGGGTTGCCGCCGGACGCCGTTGGCCCCAGCCAGCTCCTCGTCGTCACTGTCACTAAGCTCTCCGGGCTTCTCAATGTACTGATCGAAGCGGCGCTTGGTGAAGCGCTTGTCCTTGTTCTCGTCCTCGTCCAGATCGTCCAAGATAGCATCTGCCTCGTCGTCCATACCCTCCACAAGAGGCTCGCGAGGCACCTCGGTCATCTGCACGGAGGGCGCAAAGGCGGTCCGCTTAAGGTTTTCCACGACCTGTGTGCGGATCTTGTCGAGGTATTCCTTCGTGTTAGCATTGTCCATGTTGGACGGACGTACATCCAGCTCGTAGTCAGGTGCGAAGTACTAAGCCTGTTAGCTGTGTATAGTCACCATCTAAAAGCAAGAACCTACCTCGTAGTAATCGTTGTATGGAAGCTCCGCCCCAAGGGTGTCACCAACAAGAATACCGGTTTCAAAGGCCCATGTGCGTGCCACATTTCGCATCGTATAACCACCACCGCCGAGAATCATGGTGGGCAGGTTAAAGCTCTTCACAAAGTTTACACAGTTCGCGTGGCCTCGCATACTGAGGTTGAAGCATCCGAGCCGGTCGCCCGAAAGACTATCGCCACCGCACTGCAAGACCACCGCTTCGGGTCGGTACCATTCCATGACGCTCTTGATAACAGGCTCAAAGATACTCTTGTATGAAACGTCATCAATGCCATCGCGGAGAGGGAAATTGACGGCGTAGTGCTTGCCCTGTCCCACTCCGATATCACGCAGCTCACCCGTACCCGGGAAGTACTCGCCGTACTTGTGGAAGGACACCGTCATTACACGATCGGTCGTGTAGAATGCCTCCTCAACACCATCTCCGTGGTGGACATCGATATCAACGTAGAGCACGCGCTGCTTGAATCGCAGCAGTTCCAAGATACCCAGAACGATGTCTGTGTTGTGTCAGCGAAGGCCCAGCATATCGTTTCGCGCAACTTACCGTTTACATAACAGAATCCACTTGCTTCGCTCTTCTTCGCGTGGTGAAGTCCACCGGCCCAGTTAACGGCAATGTCGCACTTGTTGCGGTTGAGCCGGGCGGCACCCTCCATACTACCACCCGCGCTAATACCGCAAAACTCAAAGAGCCCATCGAAGACGGGACAGTCATCTCCGACATTGTATTTGCTCTGCTCCTTCGCGAAGGAGTCCATGTTGTCCGGTGTAACCTTCGAAAGGAAGTCGATATACTCATCCGTGTGAAATTGGGTCATTTCGTATTTCGAGGCCGGCTTCGCCCGCTGTAGACTGCGTCAGTGCTGCTTTCAAAAGACTTTGTAGAGACCTTCTGTCAGATCCAATAGTAATCATCCATAACCACTCACATATATCTCCATCTTCTTATAAAGGCCATAGTTCATGACCAGACTGTGAGCCATCCTTATGCGATGGGGCTTCATCGGGTGTCCCGAGACGTAGGCATAGTTTCCCACGTCGGAGTCGTAGAAATAGGCCACTTTCTTGTTGCGATCCGCCGGCCCATTGGTAATGGGATCCAGAGGTGCGAGTGAGTTACTCATGTCGAAGGTCACTGTGCGAGGCACACGGCGATTCCTCACTCAGACCAATGCGTAGGAATGTCGCTTGAGCGCGGTGATTTCTCGGGGTGTGTATGTGGGCGTCAGATCGACAGAAAATAGGCAAATCAGACCCAAATAGTCAAGGAGTATACTGAATAGAACAGATAAAGCGCCCCTATAAGTGAGCCAGTCGATTAACTCTCACAGAGTGGCACTAATGAAGTACATTCGCAATGGCCGGGGGCGGACAATAAGTGATGGGGACCGAAAGGAAGCGAAGGGAGACGCAAAGGCGGAACCCAGAGCTGCTCCACCGCCTTCGTCAGGCTTCTTGGGAAGCTCGACCGTCACTACTTACACACGCCCCAGTTGCGCCTCCATCACCACCTGCTTCCCATCTTCAGCTTTCGTCTAGTCTCGCTTATTGTTCCATCGGAACCGGCTCAAGCATCCCCTCTGTCTATACAACGTCTGAGCTTTTCCAATCAACGAATTTGCTCTGATACCCCCACTCAACCTTCCGATTGGAGCTTCCGCGTAGGAAGTCATCCTGGTCTCATCTACATAACTAACACTCAAACCAACCCCCCCGTCTCCACTATGGATCGTCTGCATCGCATGCTCCAAGCAGCCCAGGGAATGGGTGTTGGAGGGAATAATGGAGTGAGTAACACTTAGGCGAGCAGCGGACATGGCACTCGTATCTCCAGAGGGTCTGGGACCATGGGCTAATGCAGGCACAGGATATCCCCAACCTCATCGATAACTCCGAAACCGTCCACATCTCATCGCTCGCTCTGCTGAAGATGCTAAGACACGGTCGGGCCGGTGTGCCTATGGAAGTCATGGGTCTGATGCTGGGAGAGTTCGTGGACGAGTACACAGTTAGGGTAGTTGATGTTTTCGCCATGCCCCAAAGTGGTACTGGTGTCAGTGTCGAAGCCGTGGACCCTGTTTTTCAAACGAAGATGATGGACATGCTGAGGCAGACTGGACGGTAAGCTCGAAAAGTATCTCGCGCGCTACCCAACTCATCCTAACGCATCGTGCTATAGACCAGAGACCGTTGTTGGCTGGTACCACTCGCATCCTGGTTTCGGCTGCTGGCTTTCGTCCGTCGATATCAACACTCAGCAATCCTTTGAACAGCTTACTCCCCGCGCCGTTGCCGTGGTCGTCGACCCCATCCAGTCCGTCAAGGGCAAGGTCGTCATTGATGCCTTCCGTCTTATCCAACCACAGACCGTCGTCATGGGCCAGGAGCCCCGCCAAACAACATCCAACCTGGGTCATCTGAACAAGCCGTCCATTCAGGCCCTCATCCACGGCCTCAACCGCCACTACTACAGCATTGCCATCGACTACCGCAAGACCGGTCTCGAGGAGAACATGCTGATGAACCTGCACAAGCACGTCTGGACGGAGGCACTGCAGATGAAGGACTTCCACGAGGAGGGTGAGCACAACGTTGAGCGCATGAAACAGCTCGTCAGCCTCGCCGAGGGTTACGAGAAGCGGGTCAAGGAGGAGACCACTCTTACTAAGGACCAGCTCAAGACGAGATACGTCGGCAAGGTCGACCCCAAGAAGCGTAAGTTTCTCACTTGATCACTGTGTTGATTCACTACTAATTCAACCCTTCTACAGACATCGAAGATGTGAGCCAGCAGTTGATTGAGGACAACATCGTGGCCGTCTCGCGGCAGATGATTGACAAGGAGGCCTCGGTGGCACGGCAATCAAACGGCAAGGAGAATGGCACCGGCATGGAGGTTGATGAGGAGCTATAGAACAACCATACCATACCATATATTTCCTAATGCCAATTCAGACTCCCTGAACGCAGGCTCTATGTACAGGACGGTTGTCTTGTCTTGGCAGACACATCAATGAATGACGTTATATGTATCATCCCGGTATATAACCACCAGTAGTAACAGCACACAATGTGAGCCGAACAAAATGAAAACAGATATGAACTTGTCCCAATTGTCTAATAATTCTATGTGAGAATATATATGCATCTAATGTTATCAAACCCAATAACGAGCAACCGATCTAAACTCCCGCAAGACCGCATTATCATATCATGCCAATATAACCCAAACCCATCACATCATGATCACATCTCAATAATCGAGGTACGGATTGAACAACGGAAGTGGCGGCGGCGGCAGGCCATGCAACCTAGCGAATTCCTGCGCCTCCTCTAATTCCTTCTTCCGACGAGCCTTTTCCTGCATTTTCTTCTCATGCGCCTTAACACCATACGCATCATCACTGAACTCCTCCCCATCATGATCCGTCCACCCCCGTTCGGGACCCCAAGCAATCTTCTTCCCAGCCGTCCTGACCTCGTGCATCAATCTCTTCATCAGAGCCCCGCTCTTCCGTACAGACGGCCAGCCATCAAATTCCACATACTCCAGACTCGGCAACCTCTCCAGGACACCCTTGAGCAGATCGCCCGCAAAATCCGTATAATAGTCCCTTGAGATACGGAAACCCTCGAACACCGGATGCGATGGATCCACTTCGACGAAGACTTTGAACGTGCGCATCCGCGCCATCTCCTCCAGTCCCAGACTACGCGTGATGGTCCATTCGCGCGGTGGCGCTGTCCAGCTCGATCCTAAAATCAACTCGACTGTGGCGATGGAGGGACGGTAGCGCGGGGGGATGGCCCGGATGGTTGGCATGCGCGAGTAGTCTTGTAAATGGAAGAGACGGAATACTTGGGTGGAGTAGAAATAGTCTGAGGCTTCATCGTGCATGCGCCGGGAGGTCAGGAATAGTGCGACTCGGTGGGAGGTGGGTGAGATGGGAGGGTTTTTCTTCGACGAGGCGCCCACGCTGCCTGTTAGGCGCGGGTTGCGTCCGCGTTTCGGGGTGAAGAGCACGAAATGATAGACACGTAGACGGATCTCGGAGGGGAGGTCAAAGAAGCGGAAGGGTTCAATGGGGGGTTTCTTCGGACGTTGCTTCTTGATGGGCTTGCCTTTGACGGTTTTGCCGGTGGCGGATTTGTCGTCCAGACGGACGTTTTCCAGTGCTTGGGAGAGGGAGTTCGTGTTGGTCATTTTTGTGTGTAGAGGGTGGATGGTTGAAGAGGCAAGAAAGAAAAAAAAAACCTGCGCTCAAACGGATCTAGATGAAAGAGAAGAGATATACGCCACGATACGAATGAGAATCTTTTAGAGAGAGAACTCGGATGATTGAAGACTTTTCTTTTCTTTTGTTTTCTGATTCATCCCATTGTTGCATTGAGCTGGAAGTCGAGAATTAACGACATATACGACACGATATAGCATCCATCGCTAGTACTTATAACGGAAGAATCAAAAGGATATATCCCACCAACGGGGCTGCAGCTGCATGGGGTACCTTCGCTGCGGCTCTTGGGTGTGGGAATATTGGTCTCCCCAGCCTAATTCAACCCGGCACGCATGGAGGAGAATGGCCTGATGAGTCAAATTTATGAGCTGGGTTTCAACTTTCAAATTGTGAGAAAAAAGAAGAAAGGAAAGGAAAGGAAGGCATCTCCGCGCCGGTATTTAAACTGATTTCCAGTACTGCACTGTTGGTCTGCGTGGCCCCGCCCGACGGTCAGTGCGTGAACTTTTCTGTTTCCGCCGAAGACCGCCGGCATTGCTGGGCCCCGATCATCCACTTGCTTCTTGTTTCTTGATTGTTCTTCACTTCACCCCAACCGTGCTGTTTTACCTCCCTCGGTGTCGGTGACCATTCTGTTCCGGCGCGTGTATTCCTCATCCTCTCCGGTCCATCTATAGATGCCCTTTACACTTTCATAATGCTTAGTCGTGCCGTACTGCCTCTGACGAGGCCGAACGTCCTCACCTCGACCGTTCGAGCTTCAACTATTTCCGTCGCCCACTCGCGCTGGTATGCGAAGTCCACCAAGCCCAAGACTCCCTACAAGCTTCCTCAGTCCGTCAAGTCTGCCAATTCAGAACAGTCGCCCAAGGCTCCCTCTCAGAACGACTACTCCGCGGAGCAGGCCGAATTCGATACCAAGGCTGCGCCGGCCACCGAAGCCGTGAGTTTGATGACGACGCTGATAATCTCAACACATCTTCTGACACTTTTCATTTTCAGTCTGAGACCGGTTCTACAGCTCCCCAAAACTATGCTCCTCAAAAACCCCTGCCCGATCTCACCCAGGGCATTCCCTCCACCCTTGCCGCAGAATTGGAAGCCGCCTCGAAGAACCGCGGATCAAGCAAGCTAAACCTCACAGAGGACCCGTCGCGTGCGGAAGATTACGATGATGGTGGCCGTGATATTCCCAATTACGAATCCTCCCTCGATCGCAAGCGCGCCCGTATGGCCAACCTGATGTATGTCCTGTTCCTGCTGGCAGGTGCTGGTGGTGTGGCCTATCTGGGCCGCAACTGGGAGACCGAGGAGGAAGCGAAGGCCCACCCCGACGTGCCATCGGGCTGGGGCTTCGGACTGATGTACAATCGTGCCAAGGCCCGCTTGGGCGATATCACCAGCTACTACAAGGACCCTGCTTTCCCCAAGCTGCTGCCCGATGAGGACCCCAACATGCGTCAGCCTTACACCCTTGTGCTGAGTCTGGAGGATCTCCTGGTGCACAGCGAGTGGAGCCGTGAGCATGGATGGCGTGTGGCCAAGCGTCCGGGTGTCGACTACTTCCTCCGCTACCTCAACCAGTACTACGAACTCGTCCTCTTCACCAGTGTGCCCAGCATGATGGCCGATCAGGTGCTCCGGAAGCTTGACCCCTACCGCATCATCCGCTGGCCCTTGTTCCGTGAAGCCACCAAGTACAAGGATGGAGAGTACATCAAGGTATGTCACTATTGGCTGTACATAGCTCCCAGTCATGACTAACCCAGACAACCAGGACCTGTCCTACCTCAACCGTGATCTGTCCAAGGTGATTTTGATTGACACCAAGGAGGAGCACGCCCGCCTGCAGCCCGAAAACGCCGTCATTCTTGAGAAGTGGCTCGGCGACTCCAAGGACAAGACCCTCGTCGGCATGATTCCCTTCCTCGAATACATTGCCGGTATGGGCGTCGAAGACGTGCGTCCCGTCATCAAGTCCTTCGAGGGCACCCAGATCCCCGTGGAATTCGCCAAGCGTGAGAAGGCCATGCGTGAGCGCTTTGAGAAGGAGCTGGCTGAGGAGCAGAAGAAGCGCCCCCGCAGTGGTCTGGGCAGCTTCGCCTCTGCCCTGGGCCTGAAGTCCACCCGCACCCTGGACGGCGAGCAGAGCCCCTCGGAGGGCTTGGCCCAGGGTAAGATGCTGTGGGACCAGATCCGCGAGCGTGGCCAGAAGAACTACGAGATGATTGAGAAGGAGATCCGTGAGAACGGCGAGAAGTGGCTGGCCGAGATGGCCGCGGAGGAGGAGAAGGCCCGTCAGGAGCAAATGGCCATGATGAAGGGCTCTTTCACCGGCATGTTCGGTGCTGGTCCTAAGCAGTAAATTCTTCTTGAGCGATGACGCGGCGGGGCGCATAAAGCCCTCGCTCGCAATGACCTTCTCTTCTCTCTTCCGCTGTTTACTTCCCAAAAAAAGAAATTTATTGGGTTATTTAATGTATATCCGAGATGTCATCTGCTAGATGGTCTCGGTATGTGGGGTTCACATTAGAGGGGTGTCTTTTCTTTTTTACCTTTTCGTTGGCTCTTGCGCGATTCATCACGGGTTTTCATCTCCGTTGTAAAATAGCATTTGGTTGTGTATTTGGTTTTGCGGTGTATAAATTGATAAATTCTAATGAAGTCAAAAGAAGTTCATTGTCCCTGACTTATGTCTTATCTGTGAAGTCGTATTATCATCTTCTAGGGGAAATAATCCGTAGTCCAACTGAGTTCAAATGTAGTTATCAATATTGGTGGTTGCCGGCTAACATATACTATGTTTTCCTACTACCATAGGGTCTGAAGGGTTTGCGTAGAGAGGGTCGTAGTATTCAACAGTAACATAATACTGCTAGTAGCCGTTGTAGAATATTCCGTGTTTACTAAATCTTGATCAACATCATTGCTAAATGTTGCCATATATTCACATTGAACTCTGGGATAATACAATAGTAGTAATCAGTTATTTAACGGTAGTAAGTACCTTCCCCCACATTTACCGGGGTATGTCATTATTATCTGTTGAGTAAACGTGTACTGGACGACGATTTTCATTCTGATCGTTGACCTTCCCGATTTGTTGACCAAAATTGAAGCTTCAATCGGTTGCAAGATGATGCACCAGGTATATATATTAGCAAATAGTGCTGCCACCGAACCGGTAGTAGTAACTATAAGATCGAACAACTATCGTGATTCAATAACTAGTACTAGTAGCATCCGCATTCAATTCATTGCAGTTGTCCCATGAGAACCATTTCAATAATTGTTCTATCTGGTATAGTACCCCGTACTCGTCAAGTTATCTACTTGTCAGACCTGACTAGATCGCAAGGCCGAGTGACAGCACTGAGACTCTGAGAGGCCGGGAAGGTAGAGGGCGGAAAGAGAAAAGCGCTGATAAGTGCATAGTCATTGAAGAAGTTACCCCCATACCGTCATTGAAGGCTGGAAGGACCAAGCAGGCCTGTCTGGCTTGTGATCGTTAATCTCCTTGCAGTTCTGGAAGCGCGCGCGATCGAAAAAAGCCTTATTACTCCGTAGAATCTGCCAAAAAAACTGTGGGGAGCATCTCAGTCACAACTGAGTCAGCCAGGGCGACCAACCACGTGCCCCAGATTGGTGGAATGGCCATCCGCGCAAGCACTAGTCTTCTTTAGGAGAAGGTCCCTCCTGCCAGGGCTTAGCGCGGTAAGATTGCATACATTGTTTCATAGTTACAACTAGTGTCTTTAGTAGTAGTGAACAATGCCTCTTAATACATCTCATACATACATACACTAGCATAGTAGCTGGTTCTTGTGTTTCATTGTCAGGAACCCATTTCATCCACTCTCCTCCTCTTTTCTCCATCCTCCTCATCCCACCTGCTAACTAGTATTCCCCATCGGTTCTCATCTCTTCTTGGACTTCCTTCCCCAAAGTTCTTATATACCTCTTAATGCTTCCCCGCTTCTGACCTATCGAGTTCCCCTTCCTCGGTCATCTGAAACTGCCCCGTTTCAAAAACTCCATACGCATTGGAGCAGAAGATCCCCGGTGCATTATTGGCGTGCGGGTGAGGGACACAGCCACCGGCCTTGCTCGTTGGCGCTTCCCGCTTTGCCCACCAGCGTGCTTCCTTCCGCTGCCTTTATTTCGCCCCCTATGTCCTCGAAAAATCATGCTGGGCTTCGATAATTGAACACCCCCAGTGTCGTCTGCATTTGTTCCATCAAATGTAGACCCGCGTGGGCGAGACTCCAACTAACTACTACTACTACCATCGACCATGGAGGAGGATGTCCGGTTGCCCACCTCAGAGCGGCTTGGCGGCCCCCATCTTGATCCCGATCAGTGTCCCTCGACCACTTGCTCCCTTAAGCTGCATCAGGAGCTCCCGAAAAGCACGCGACCGCGTTTGGAGAAGCAGGCCTTGTCACCGTTTGCTCGTTTGCCTCGTACCGTCATCGAGCAGTAAGTGCACTTCCGTCGTCCCAGAGCCGGCGCATCGCGCGAGCGACAATCATGTGATTGATGATATCTGCTGCCTGTGCTCGGAAGCTTTTCTGATTTAATTGGCGCCTTAGTATCCTATATGTTGCGGATGCCAACACATTTGCGTCGCTAACACTGCTGAATCGAAAATGGCGACGCATATCGGACTCAACCATTTTGTATGCGCACCATCTTTTCCAATGCCCGTCCTTTGCCTTGACGCAGAAGGCTACTGAGCAGCCCGCTCACTCAAGTGATCTTATACTGCTCAAGCGGCAGTTCGGCGCGCAGGTCAGGCGGAATGCATTCGATGCTTTTCTCCGGCCCCGCAGGACTCTCATCAAGCTTACTTCGACTTCCATGAGCTCCTCGACGGCCTTCCCGCAAGGTGAAGCATTTCGCTTTTCTTTCTCTCCAAATGCACAGCTTATCCTGTGCATCAGCTCTTCCAGAATTGTGGTTCTCGATGTAACCGCGGATCTGGCGGTCGTGAAACACGAGCTCAAGACTTGGCGACGGCCTTTGAACGCTGCCATTGTTGATGATGGCTCCATTCTCGCTGTGGTTTCCTCTACTCACCGGGTCAATATTTACCGCCTTACCGATGATGAAGCGAAACACATTCAAGATTTGACATTGAACGACGTTCCTCGGACCCTAACGCTCTCCCCGACAGGGGGGGTCCTTGCCATTGCGTACGATGATCGGATCGAAGTCTACGCCATCGGTGAAGGGGCACTGGCTACCGAGCGAAGAGCTGTGCGCTGCTCCGGAGTTGACTCGGTGTCGTTTTCCTCTGATGGTGTCATGCTACTAGGGACTTCCGCTGATCGCGGTAATGGCGGTCTTGTCACTATAACAGTGCCGTTCTACACAGAATCAGAAACTGAGTATTCCCCAAGGGATGCTCAGATCCGGATGTGGACAACACAGATTTTGTTTCCAGACGTAACCACCGGGCTTAGCCATGCCTGTTTGCTCCCCTTGCACGCAGAAGGTGAAGGCAATTGGCTACTAGGGTTTGATGAACAAATAAACACGTTTCGAGCATTCGGGGTGCACAACACGAACTCAGGCACAGCATATTTCGTGACTCCGATGTCTGAGGATGGGTCCCGGGAGACATCTCCCATCATGCTACCCACTGTTGACGACCTCGGGGAGCTAGCTGCTATAGGGTTCGAGAGTTCTGGCTTATGGGTATATGGTGTACCTGATCGTCTGGATATTGCTCCTGTAGCTCCCAACGCAAGAACATATGCTGAAGTGGATGCTGAGCAGGGCCCTTCAATCGAGGAAGCGGCTGCTGCCCGGGATAGCCTGTCCCGACTCCAGCAGACCATCACAAAGCCCAAAGTCCTAATCAATGGCCATAAGATGAGCGTTATGCCGGGAATGACAGCAGCTTGCTGGGTACGCCACCCAAGCTGTGTGGCTGGCCGTCGTAGATTGGTAGCCGTTGCTCCTGGTGGCGTTAGCCCTCCGACGATTGGCGAAGAAGACGTGCCGGTAGATGGCGGACGTGTGCTGCTGTTAGACTTCGAACGATCTGCCACAAATGGTGACTCAACTGAAGTCAACATCGAGGTCGGTGATGCGGAGCCGAAGATCCTGAGTGAACCGAACTCTACCATAGATACCGAAGTCGAGCTGGAGAGGAGAAGGACGCGATTACATCGTGGGAATACTACTTCGCCTCGGGCACGCGCATTTGCTCGAGAATCCTATCCTTCGGCCAACTCGGTCGTCCACGCACCTCGGCAAAATGTGCGCAGAAACAGCTCCTTCTTCTCGGGCTCTTCGACTAGCGACATTCAGCACATTCCGGAATCACCGTATGACAACACGCAACCTCGATCTCGGGACACGTTGCGTCGTGCAGCCACGGCCGCGGCTAGTGGTCGCGGACGCTATAACCCACGCTATCAAGACGAAGCACGCCCTGTTCAAGGCCAAAGGCCAGCCTCACAGGCTTTCCAGGTCCCTCATGAGAGCGACGCAGACAATTGGGTTCCACCGCCCCCTCCCTATTCTAGGGTCCCCGACGCACCGCTTCCCGATTATCTCCGAAGGACCCTCCTCCCTTCGCATACGGAACCGGCCCGTAGAGTCGGTGATGTTCCAGAAGACATCCAGAGACCTCAGACCAGTCGTCTGGAACAGATGGTCGACGAATCTACGTCCCGAAGCTCGCTACAAAGATTGCATACCATTACTGGCTCACGGCTCGCGGCTCGCATGAGGAGGGGCATGAGAGACTCCGAGTCCCCTGAACCGAACAGACGACATACCATGTTCTTTCGCAGAAGAGATTCTGCCACAGGACCCCAACCTAACGTCCACAGCCTTGATGGAGCGCAGATGCCTGTGTCAGAGCAAGACCCTTCGGTCAACTTTCAGGGTCAACTGCACCCTGTCCTCAGCGGGTCTACACAGCTAAATCAATCGTCAGCAGTTCAACGAGCAAATTACCAGGACGTTTTGCTTGAGGAGTCTTTACCTGACGCCCCGGACTGGCAGGAGGCTATGCCCCCGACACAGAATGGGACTTTCAATCTGGACCATTACCCATACTCCATCTCCTCGCCTAATCTTCAGGTCTCGACCCTTCAACATGATGCCCCCGAGGCGGTGCATGGGAGTCGACAACGTTCCACCTACTACCGAGGAGCAGATCGGCGCTCTCATCCTCAGAATGTCCGGCTCCCGCCTGGGGGTATTCCACCGCTGAACCGCCGGGCATCAACCGACCCCACACTATCTACCAGCTCACAAGCGGCTGCACATGATCTGTGGCGGAGACGCATTGAAGAGTGGAACGAGCAGACCATCTACGAGAGAAGCAAACGCAGAAGCAAATGTATAGTGATGTAGGAAGATTGCCATTATGTTGCGTGGGTTAGACTGTTTAGGCTTTTGGCTCCGGATGTTTCGTGTTTTTTACTTAGCTCATATACCCGAGTGGACATATATAGGCTTTGTAGAGCTGTGCATATTGATCTTCTCAACCACATCTTTTGACCTTGCGCAGCTTTTACTTTCTGTTTTGAACCGCAGGCAAATAAGGTGTATACTGTGTCTCTTATTTTTAGACAAGCGCTATGATGGCTGCTTATCCCGGCATCTCTTCAACGGATCCCAAACGGTCAATTTGGGGTATTTGATACCATGTCAACTTGATCAGGATAGGAATTCTATTTCATGAAGCTCCAAGTTCATACTAATCATGAAAAGAGTTTAAGTATACCACTGCCGAAAGACAGCGGAATTAAAGCCATGACTCATTGTGTTTTCTATAATTACCACAAAGCCAGATTTATTCAAAGGAGGTGGTTGTGTTTCTGCGTCTCTCCTTCCTCGCAAGTCAAAGAAAGGTATCGTCCCGTGGTTTACGTCTTTGTGCCTAATATTCTGTCCATCATATTCTTCCCCTAACCGTGCAACCTAATAACAGCAATACCAGGGGAATATGCTGGATTTGCTCTTCTTAATGTCTTTGATTTCAACATCCTAAATATGCCACTATATGGCTACTACCAGCATACATTACTTTCGCGGCATTTCATGCCTATCATTGAATTGGTAGACTTACCCAGTAGCCACCATGTCCGAAGCCCCACACTCACGCTACAATCTTCGAAAAAGAAACCCCGTCGATAATGACGTTTTCGAAGAACTGGAAAAGTTCTTGAGTGAGCAACGCAATATTCTCCGGGTAAGAAAGCCACGAACAGGTGGAGGAGCAGGAAAGCCACGAAGAGGCAAAGGAGGAAGAAAGCCACGGAAAGGTAAAGGCAAAGCCTCACAGGGGCCATCAACGCCAGAATCGTTTACAACAAAGATCCACGTCAAATTTATCGCAGACATCCAAGAAGAATCAGATCAACAGTCCGAGGAAGCCTCAACAGAAAGTGCCGCCAACGTCTCCGATTGGTATCGCTCCTCCCATAGCGAGGCGGATCTCAAACCTGGGGAGTCTCACTCTAACAGACATTTCTATTACCAGCGGACCGGAACTCCCAGGTCCGATTGCTTGTTCGCTGCCAATGTTGAGGTAGTAAACAAGGTGCCGGTGGATATCATCGTTGACCCCAAATACATGCCGTCAGATGATGATACAGGTGAGTAAGCTCTGCTGTGCTGTGCATTTCGAGCACTAATCCGGGATTTGCGATGGTCCTAGAATTCCAGAGACTAGTGGACCTATGGCAAGATCCTGCAGTCGAAGATAAGGTTGAATTATCGGACTGGTCTGAGTTAGAAAAACTAGTAGATCCGAAGAAAGCCAGGTTCGCGCCCCTTTTCAGGGACGTTCATGATGACAGATATCGTAAGAAAACAGAACCAGATATCCTATTTGATTATATCGCCTCGCTATTTGAGCAATTACCAAGTCAAGGAGAGATGTGTGTCATCCTTTGACTTCCCGAATGCTATAGAGCCATGAGAAAGCTGACTATGTTCACCCACTCAGTGATTTTCGTCAGAATTGCTACTTCCCGCTCGCGCGAGAGGACCTGGGAACGCACCAGGGTCTATATTTCAGTTACTACATTGGAAAAGGAACCTTCAATGTTCCTGGTGGTCAAGCGATTGGCGTTCCTCTCGCCGTTTGCACTGTGAGATTTCTCCTCCTTGTGAGCTGGTACCTGAAGCTGAACAACCTGCAGTGCAAACCGAAGCTCGGACGAGCTGGCATCGCCCGGTCTGAGATCCCGGGACTTCTGTTTCAAGCCAACATGGCCTTCGAATTCGAAAGTAATCACGAGCAATATCCTGCATATGTCATCAGCGTGCGAGGCTGGAAGATCCGCTTCGTCAAAGGTATTATGACCCGGCAGGAAGTTGCCCGTCTCCAAGATAAGAAGCTATCAGGGAGGATCAAGGTGCAGCGAACTGGGGCGTACGATCTCTATTACCGCAACGAGCGCAAGGAGTTTATCCGAGTTATGCTAGGCTTGTTGCGGTCATTCAAAGATCGACGCGAAGCAGACTTTTCTACCGAACTGCTCTGATTCGGTGGTGACGTACAACCAGTGATGGCGTATATGTGCGTGTGTGTATAAACATGCCGTATTCATTATTCTGTGGAACTATAGCGACTGAAGTTAAGGCACTTGGACAGACCTTGTTGGTCATTGGCCTGGTAGTTATAGTGTTATTACGCCTCCAGTGGGTCTTTATCAGATTTTAATCCTGTTGAACGGGGTCTCGAAAAACAGGCAGATTCATTAACCTCCGACGAACCTAATACGAGCACGCAGACATGAGCAGCAGCTCCAGGCAGTAAGCACTATTAGAACCGAAGAATAGCCTGAAGCCCATACATGCATCGGATATGGAATGATCAAAGACCGATGACAGCGTACGGGGCACACGCAGACATGCCCCCTTATTTCCAATTGACCTACTCCTCCTTGACAAGTGGTGAAATAATGGACATGATATTTGGATAATCAGGTCGAACATGAGTGGTCAAATCCAAACCAGTCGTCCGGCGGCCTAGGTCCTGGTCCGTCGGACGTCCGAGCTTCCGGCTGGCGTCGGATAGGCTGCTATGGTGATAGGGCGAGGGGTGGGGCCAATTAGATTAATTAGTGTATGAGCTTTCTGGAGGTAGTTGATAGTCATACCATGTTTCCTTTACAAACTTCCCCTTTATGAATAAAAACAAGCAAGTAATCTGATTGTTCCTGCTATACGATATCAACATCAAGGACTGGCGTATAGTTAGGGTTGAAATCAGGGACTCGGGATTACCTAACAGAAAGGGTTCAGGTGGGGCGGATCCTCCGATGGCCCGTGCTGACTAAGACGCCACCGTTGCGCCCCTGCTATCATCACGTGCTTTTTTTTTTCGGGCGAGACCACGTGAGAGCGAGATCGGACAGCTTCTCCTCGCTCGCAGTCCGTTTCCCCCGCGCTGGATTGATTCCATCCCAATCTCAGTAAGAAAGGGTCTGGATCCCTCCATTCGACTCCTCTTTGAAAGGATCTGCACGCACAAACAGCACAGCGCCTTGACATAACCTCACCCTTTTGGTGTTGTTTGTTTCACTCTTCTCCGACTCGCTCTCCGAAGTTCTTTCTCTCACGTGGGCAAAAGGCTCGTGCCCAGCCAATTTCCCCGACAGACCCCGATCATTCTTTTCTTTTCTTTTTTTGGTGTTATAATACCACATCCTATTTCGGCCCTCTTCCTACCTTCCCTACTATCAGCCTGGAGTCTTCCGAACGATCGCCCAGCGGAATCGGAGGCAGGGGCCTGCAGGGTACCATCCTGGAGCCACTCGCAGGAGAGAATGCTTCTGCTGCCCCCAGTCCCGTAATGGGAGGTGTCAGCCATCCGTCTGTCTCCCCTGCTGTTGGGTCTGATGCTGCGGGTCCAGCCAGGAAGCGCACCACGACCATGGCGGGGTTGGACAGCTCTCCGGGCAGTATCGATGATGTCGATGGGCAGGACAATCAGGAGGAGAAGAAGAGACAGCCCGTGAAACGGGCTTGTAATGAATGTCGTCAACAAAAGGTAAGCTCACGCCACACTTAGGGTTTCTATTCATCCGAGACATGTGGCTTACTTGGATTGTTATTAACCTTCTCTTTCGTAACAGCTCCGATGTGATGTTATTCAAGACCCGTGGACGGATTGCTCCCGATGTCGTCGTCTGAAGCTGGATTGTAAAATCGAATCCAACTTCAAACGGGTTGGGAAACGCAGTCGCAACGCCGAGATGGAACGCGAGATCATCGAGCTGAGAAAGCAGATTGCTACTGTGCAGGCTGGGGCTATGCCTCAACCGCAGTCGGCATCTTTGCCGCCGGTTCAGACGCCCAAGCAAGAAACGGCCAGCCAGGTTGGCTCGGGAGTCTACCATACGCCGTCGGCCATGTCTGCTGATCAGTATATGGGATCTCATGAGGCTGTTGCGTCGCTTTTGGATTTGCGCTCCGGCTTTGATGGCTCGAACTACATGAGGAACGGCAATCATCACTTCAAGCGCATTGAAGATGTCGCGGTCGTTCCGGAGAGGGTGACGGAGCTCTTTCATCTGTAAGGCTTGAAGCAGAATATTTATCAAAGATATATGCTAATGTTGTTAGGTTCTTTACCTTCTACCATCCTTTTCTACCATTCCTTGATCGAGACCAGTCGCCCGATGATTACTACAGCGCATCGCCACTGCTGTTCTGGACCATCATCAGTGTAGGCGCGCGGCGCTTCCAGGCCGACACCCACCTTCTTAATTCCCTCTCAGGCCCGGTCTCGCGATTGGTGTGGAGTACGCTGGCGGACATCCCACAAAGCTACCACGTCGTGAAGGCTCTCTGTTTGCTCTGTACCTGGCCTTTTCCTACTAGCAGCACGTCCACCGATCCGACCTTCATGCTCTGCGGTATGATGATCCAAGTGGCAATGCAGCTGGGCCTGCATCGTCCGTCTCATACGCAGGACTTTAGCAAATTCCGCGTGGAGCTTATTGAAGAGGAACTTCGCGACAAGGTGCGAACCTGGGCAGTCTGCAACATTGTCGCCCAGCGGTATGTGGTCCCATCGATATCGTTATCGATTCGATTTTTTTCTGACTAGGATGCAGTGTTGCTACTGGTTATGGCCAGCCTCCGTCCTCTGTGTACGACTGGACACTGTCTTCGAATGACTCCGTGGACCCCAACTTTAGGTTGCCCGACGACATCAGATCGAGGCTGGAGATCGAAAAGTTTTGCGACAAGGTCACCAAGTCTTTATATACTAACCGGCGGGACCCTGTCGGGCTCTGCAGCGATCAGGAGCGATCAACATTGATCTCATTTCTGTCGCGGGACTTCGATGAATTGGAGAATCAGCTGAAGGCGCACAATGACTGTACGTTCTTCCTTAGGCATTATGATGCTTGTTATAAGCCGATCTAACCTTTGCAGGTATCACTAATCTCTATTTGCGCGCATCGAATCTTCACCTTCACTTGTCTGCGTTCTTCGACGACACGACCGCAAAGGATTATAGAGAGCGTCTTCTCTCGCTCTATGTCGCTACCACGACCTTCCTCGAAGCAGCGATGAACCTGGAAACGGAAGTCGGCCCGGTGCTGTCATACACCCCGTACTACGTGTATCAGATGATGGTCGCGGGCGGATGCACTCTGCTGAAGCTATGCAAGAGCTTTTTCGCCGCGCACATCGACATGGATTATGCAAAGAACCTCTTCAATCGGACGATCTGGGCCATTCGACGCGTGTCCGTTTCCAGCAACGACCTCCCAGAGCGACTGGCAGAAGTGGTGGCGCAGATGTGGCGGCTGAACAACGTGCCCACACCAAAATTGACGGCAGACGGCGGAGAGGTCGACGACTCGCTGATGCTCAAGGTGCGGTGCCGGATGAGTATGTCCTTGCTTTTCGACTCAGTCTGGCGGTGGCGGGAAGACGCGCGGACCAAGGGGCGTAATCTTGAAGGTATGCACGCGTGCAAACAAATCTAACGTATGTATCGGAGACTGACAACACCTGCAGCATATCTTAAAAACCCAACCAACCCAGACTCGAACGCCGAATCCTCCAACTCATCATCTGTCCAACCTACGCGCACCTCGACAGCGACACCCGGGGTCGCCGGCGCCGCAGACCCCAGTCTCGCGCCAGCCCCCATGCTCCCACAAGCCAACATGGGCGTATCCGCACCGAGCGCTGTGGGCGCCCTTCCCAGCGGATTCATGGAACCCAATTACGAAGTATTCGATCCGCTGAACTGGCTTCTGGACGGACTGGTTGATTTGCCGTATTCATACTCGACGATATCGGGGATAGAGTCTCAGGGTATTGCATGAGCAGAATAATTCTGTCGACGACTTGACATGGCACATAAAATTTCCTACACTATGCTACATATATTTGACGACTGTTTGATGTTTATTGTTGCTTGATTGATTGATGTACCATATTATTATACCAGCGAGATGATTGGCTTGATGTCCGACACACGCACACAACCCCGACTATCCTTACGTTATGGAGTTGGACAGGAGCGAGGAGTTGGCGATTTGCTTTGCTAGCTTCGAATGAAGCTAGGGTTGGATTTTTGTTTTGTTCAGATGATACCATGTATCGATAGTTGGATGCGATGCATATAGTGCAATAGATGTATTTACATGGCTTTTCCTACTCCGAGATAAGATTCTTCTATATTTAAATATTTTGTTTTATTTTCTTTCAGAGTAAATATATAGTTTTAAGGGTACCATGTTATCTACAATCTAAGGTATATATAGATTGTGATATGGTTATGGTTATCTTAGTCTCAAGTCTAACCACGGAATCACGTGGCGTATTCCAACGTCTAATTACGTAGTTACCACCTCCATCCAACTGTATACCATCTATCTATCTATCTATCTCCCATACTACTCTATATCTACTATAACTCTATAATAACATCAATCATCAGATCCACAACACAAAAGCAGAATTAGAAGCTATGCCCAACTTCGAAACAAAAAGACCTCCTTCCTCCCTCCTCATTCCTAAGAAACGTCCCCTCAAAACAAAATCATCATCATCATCATCATTATCCAAAACCTATCCTACAGAGAAACACACACCAAGTCTATATTTCACATCAACATCCACAGAACAAGAACCCCAAACCAAAATCGTGAATAAGGATAAAGGAGCGAGTGCTACAACAACGACAACAGAGTTTAATTTCTCACTTCCGCCGCAGCCATTTCTTGATCCGGGGTGTTGGGAGAGGATTCGCGCATCTTCTTCTTCGAGATTAGGTGGTGAGGGTGGAAGTGGGGGTAGGAATGCCTTGCAGTTGAATGAGAAGGAGAGAGAGGAAGAGAGGAGACGGAGGAGAGTGAGGGAGGCGGAGTATGGGGGGATGGCGGTTAGGGGGAGGATCAGATAGTCTCTATTTATTACAGTGAGGATAGTTGTAATGTATGTTTTATTTTGAGTGAGCGAACTTGGTTGGCATCATATCGTGTATATTGTTGCATAAATCATCAGAGTAAGTATGGTATGGTATGGTATGGTATCTTCATCATCGTGGAATGGACTGGGACCATCAAGTATTGTTGAATCATGAGTAGAAAACAATTCCAAAACACAGAACAATACAAAATGCATGCAAAACACTAATCCAAATCATATGCAAAAAAAAAAAAAAAAAAAAAAAAAAAAAAAAAAAAAAAAAAAAAAAAAAACATCATCATATCGTCGTTGACGCCGTCATTCATAGCATAGCATATAGCACATTCTAATTAGCGATAAAGAGAGACATCACGGTCATTCATGTTCAGTCAATGGGTCCAATGGCATCATTCTGGTATTCTCAGCTGCGTGCTCGACTCCATCAGGACTGCCCCGCTGATACTCTGCTTGAGTTTCTCGCGTTTGGCTTCCCGACGGTGTTCGGCGTGTCGCTGCCACGTGCGTCGCACTCGTTTGCGGATGTTACGGATCTTATTCGTTCGCAAGCGCAGCCGCCACCATGACAAAGACCGGAATCGCTGGTGGTGGAGCGATGTCTGCGAGCAGAATGCCTCGGGGCTGAAGACTTGGCTTCCTACGAGCGTGCTGCGGTTGGCGAGGTGTCGACTGGCTTGTTCGGGCCGCCGCCTGGCACCTGGGCTGCGAAGCGCAGGGCCCTCAAACACAACGCGCTGCTGCGGCATGCCCAACGAGTTCTTGATCACTAGGTCCGACGCCTCGGGGTCTGGAGCTGGCGAACGCGGAGCCACGCGAGGCGATTCTTCCTCTGGTTCCGAGTCCTCCCAGAACCGACGAGGTCGCCAAAAGGGCTGCTGTCGCCCATCGATGTCCTTGCCGGCCTTGCGGTTCTTCACCGACGTCAGTGACAATGAGCGGACGAATGAATTGAAAGAGTCAGACCGAGGACGTACCAGCCACGGACGGCGGCCCGGGCCAAACCGACGGCCCCGGCGTTTACTTGGTTCGTTGATGTAACCTGCCCCGCCCGGCTGGCTGTCGACGTCTTGCACGGGTGTCGGTGGCACGACCTGGCAGATGGGCGGTTGTGGTGGCTGGCGGGGGTCTTTGAGCGGGGATGTCATCTCGTAGCGTTGAGTGGGCGATTCTTCCATCCTGTGTTGGTACAGTTCAGGGTAGTCGGGTTGCCCTCGCTGTGCAGACGGGGCCTGCGGATCGACCAAGAGCAATGATTCATTGTTGTGCGGGAAGAATACAACAGTCCTCGCCTCGCTGACTTCGATCAGGCCAGGAGAAGATGAGGGGATCGAGATTTGTGTGTACGGCATCGATGGCGGGCGCAGATGCGACATGTCTTCCACTCCAATGATAATTGACTGCGTCTTGGATGCTTCCGCAGCATCGTGTGGCTCTCGAGCGACGGTCTCTGCTTTGGCTGGACGTGGCGGCTCAGCAACGCGATCATGAGTCCCCTGTTCCGTAAACATTGCATGATCCCGCAGACTCTCCGATGTCAGAGATGTAGTCCGGGAATTATTACGACTGGTTGGTGCAGAGAGCGAGGAGCTGCGAGCCGGGATACTCGGTCGGCCAGAGTGGCGACCACGAGATTCCGCCCGCCTCGTGCTGCTCGCAGTCGTGTCGGATGTGCGCTTCTGACGAGGAGGCTCGCGAGAGCCAGGCCGACTACCCGATGCGGACGGGCCCTGCCGACTCGAGTGGCGCGAGCGGCTTTGCGAGGTATTCCTGCTGGTTGAAGTGGACGACTTAAGGGAAGAGCGTCGTTCCGGGATCACAACCACTGGCACCACGTCCACGGTTTGTTGCTGGGTGTTCACACTGGAGGCCCCAGAGAACGAGATTTCCGACGCGATGCTCTTGCGGTCACTCTCGGTGATTCGACCAGCTTTGTGTACCAGGCGATGTTGCGAGTCCGCGCTGGAAGCGGTTGAAGCATGTTCTGGGCTGGGAAAAGGCGAACTAGCCGAACGCAGCGAGCCCCTCTTATCGGTATGGCGCAGGGATCTTCGGGTGGACCTTGGTGCGTCGATGATCATCACCTCGACAGTGGACGAGGACATAGAAACGTCTGACAGCCGGCGAGCGTCATCGTGCTCGGCAGAGTGAGGCTGGTCCTCCGCACGTGGCCAGCCAATCTCTTCGCGAAACTGCTCAATGGATAAGCCACCAACTGGTTCCTGCGCATCCCTGACAGACTCCCGTAAATTTGAGCGTGCTGGAAGAGCTTTGGTGTTTTGTGTCTCTCGACCATTCATATCGTAGCCCTGTTCTGCGTCCGCATTACGGATCCTAGGAACTCCATTCCTCGTAGACTTCTTCTTGCGCGGCGGCGACACCTTGGATTCCGCACCATTATCCATCTTTCGTTGCGCAGGAGTCTCCATCGCGGACGGTTGGAGGCGCTGAGTACGAGGATCAGGAACCGGTGTCGACTCTCCACTCCCTCGGTCATCATAGTCCGCCGGCTCGTCCCTCCTCAACGATTTCTGTCTGGTAGGCAACAACGACTGCGTCGACTGGCGAGGAGTTTCCGTCTCCGCGTCCGAGATCATTTCATAAGCTGTCCGAAACGACTCGGCGTGCGATGAGGAGGAAGAGGACAGTCCAAAGTGCGACAGTCCCGGACGCGGGGCTGAAGGAGCGACACGCGGGGGAGTAGTTTCAGGCGTGGGTGGATGGGACGGCTTGGAGGTCACCGCCCCGTTCACGGAGTAGGATGAAGTAGCTTTTGGCGTGCTTGTTCCGCTGCTCATGAGGTCTTCGCTCTGAGCAACTCCAGGCGGCGTTATAGGACGGACAAGAGCGGCTGCCAACGGGGTGGCATTTGAAGGGCGGCCATGCTGAGGTTGAGGCGTTGCCTCGATGGCTGGAGGGCTCCAGAGGACATTTGGCCTTCGTCGTAGAGACTTGTGGGCCCTCAACTGGGGCGGATCCAGGTGTCCTGGTGAGGCGAGAGACGTGTTCACGACTTCCAGGCCGGGCATGGTGAGATGGCCCAACTGTCTGGGATGCCCAATTGGCGGACCCGACGGTCGCGGCAATCCGGACTGATATTTGTCACAAGCGATCGCAGTGGGTGATTGGCAGGAGAAGCATTGACACTTGAGTTGTTTCAATGGAGATTGGTCCCAACTGGTAGCTGACGTCGTCGCATCGCCTGCTCACCGCGGCAATTCAGAGTGTCAGGGTCGAGTTTCAAACAGAAAGAGTTACTACAATGGAATAAGAAAATCCCACGACGTGACCGTTGTGGACAACGGCTACCTTGTACACATTCACTGGATCTTTTTTTCCTTATCTTTTTTTTTCTTTTCCCTTTTTTTCTTTCCTCCCAACCCTGGACAAAGTTTGTTGTAAAAGCAACTGAGCGGCGGCCAGCAAGGGAGGGAAGTGGATGGCCAGCGCAAGGGGAGAGAGACGGTAACTAACGAATTAATGCCCGCCCCAGCGCGTCTTACAACCCAGACCGATGCCAATTCTTTTCCGGTCAGCAGCAATGCTCCTCCAGGGGCATCGGCGATCCAAAAATAGAGAATATAGTTAATAAGAATTGGGGCCAGGCAAGGCGTGACACGCAGGAGGAGATCTCGTTGGCACAGAAAAGATCCGAGGAGCGCAACGACGAGGCAAGACAGGTGAGTCGCAAAGACATTCCACGTTGCGGATCCAGCGCGCGGTGCACTTGGAGGACCGCACCAGGTCAATCCGGGAAAATGACCGCGATTAAAGTCGTGGGTCGGCTTGGCAAACTACATGGAGGAAAGCAGAGAGCGGAGGATAAGGCCCAAGTATCGCAAGGCTGGCTAATTGATGGTCTGGAGAAACCCGACCGAATGGAAGTGGGAGAGGATGAGGGGGAATGGATGGAGGGATTGATTTGTTCGGAGAACCGGCGACGATCCAGTGACTCGCCCTGCAGTTGTCACGGGATGCCCCGAATGCTATAGGTTCTCACTACTATAAGACTAGGTTTACTACGATGCCATATAGGACCGGGAAGTACCCGAGGCATGGAGGTGAACGCTACACAGTACACAAAAGTACACAATTAGGTTGTGGTGTCGACCACTGTTGAAGTACTTTCCCCTCAAGTATATCGACACCGCCGGTTGCTGTAGGTTCCTGATCGCGTTGAACAGGAATTGCATCATCGATGACATGAGTCCCCCTGCAACGTTTGGCAGAAATCTCGGGAGTGGCGTGTTGTAATCCATGGTCGACCATAACTGAACCGTTTCCCAGACCGGGAAGCTTTCAGCAAAAGAGGACCCGCGATTGTGATTGCCGGCGCTTGATCGGATCCGACTTTCTGAAGAGAGGAATGAATGGGTAGGAGAGCAGCCACTTAAGTAGGCACGGGATGGACCCCCCCATACGAGGTATTAAACTGCGCATATGATGACATGACGACCAGTGCGTGAGAAGGGGTCTGACGATAATTCGAACCAGGAATAGAGGGCTAGACCGAGATCTTTGAAATAATCAGGACAGAGATTGTATCTCGCGTTAATCTGATCGACTACGTACTAATGTCATTTCCAATCTGAATCAGTCATGAGGAGAACTCGAAGAAATCATGACGAGATATGACGCAGTGTGTGACGGTCAGTGAACAGCCACCAGATAAAAGAAACATTCGGGAGTGATGAAGCGAGATGAGAGAGAGATTAAGTATGGGGTTAGTGAGTAGTACTAGTAGTGGTCGTAGATGATGATGATGATGCCGATGATGCCAGAGTAAAAGAGAGACATTCGGCACGCGAGGCTGGCTGAGTCAGCACCCACCGTGGGAGACAAGACTAGTAAACTAACCCGAAACGGCAACCCAGCATAGGCGAAGATCCCCTTCGACGTCATGGCTGCTTGCAATTCCACCTCCGCTGGCCGATGACGCTCCATGCCGTTCATTTGATTTCCTCTTTTTCCCTTTTCTTTTTTTTTATTCAGAATTATTTTTATTTTTATTCCACGCTTCCTCTTGCATCGGCATATTTGGTCTGAATTTATAATCTTAATAGCCTCTCATCCGCCTTCATCCGCCGATTTTCTGATTCCTGCCACGGTGCTCCCTCACGTTGTGCTGCCTGCAGTCTGTCCAGCTGCCCCCATCCATCCATCCATCCATCTGCCCATCGGCCAGCATTTCCCCACCATCCCGTCCTTACGCTCTCTCTCCGTCCCATCTCAGCTGAAAGAGAAAGGGAAAGAAGATTAAATTAAAATTAAATTACCCTACGACGATTATTTTGTGACTGGTGTCCCGTCCATTCTCCAATCTATCTCAATCCATAATCTGTGACTGTGAAGTTTGACAGTCCGTCTTGTGTACTGTGCAGCAGCAGCAAGCAGCAGTGATCTCACTAGCAGGTAATTAAAGAATAATCCCAAAAATACCCTCCCCTCCTGTTTTTCTCCTCCCACCCCTTTTTTGTGTGTGTCCATTTTCTTTGTTTGGTCCTGCCATCCTGTATTTTCATTTGACAAATCCCGATCGATCGTCTTCCCGAAACGTCATCGTCTGTCTTTTTGAAGTTATTCTGGCATTTCTCACGCACATCCTTCTTTAGTTACTGTATTTTCCCTACTGACACTAACGGAACATTTACAGTTTAGGCCTTGGCGGGGTAAAAAAGCACCAGCAGCTAAATTAGACAATTTAACCCAAAAAAGGACCAAAACGAAAAAAACAGAGACACCGAGAATCCTGGTTCCTTCCCAATCACATTTCATCATCTGGCTTTCATTTCTCTTCTTCTTTCTCTTCCTCGCCCTACTGACTGACTGACTGACTACTGACCTTGCCTTGCCTGACTCTACTTACTTCCTACTGTCTGTCCTCTTTCTTCCCTCCTTCCCTCCCCTACTCCTACTACTATTATTACTACTATTACTTTCCCTTACACCACTAGCCTTTTCCTTTTCATTTTTCCCTTTTCCATTGTAATCCCCCACTTTCCCCTTCCTTCTCCCCCTTACTCAGCACGCACACACACCATGAGTACCATACAAAGTCTTAAGAATTTCATACGTCATGGCAAACAAGCCCGCCTGGTGACGCCGCATGCCGAGCCCACC